TTACTCAGCCCAGATCCATCAGTAGCATGCCACTATCATTTGAATGGTTTGCTGTATTTTGAAGCCATCAGCTTGAAATGGTTTCTTGTTAGTAGTAAGAAGAAAACTAATTAGTCGGGCAGTAAGCCATTCATTTGGTGATGAAAATTAAAATTAAGAGTACTGTGCTGTTTAAGAAAACAAAAGTAGTTTTATTCACAAAACACAGGATTGAAGAATATAATAAAATTATTTTCGTGTTTACTAGACTCCCTATAGCTTTTTGACAACACCTCAAATGCAAGGACACAGCATTAATTTGAATTTTCAGCATTGCATTTAAGAGACATTACCTGTACTGATCTGGTGTGCTCTTTTAAAAAATATCAGTGACACATCTGACTTTCCCCAAAGTACCAAACGGCTTTTTTGTCAAACAACATCTTTTCGTGACTTCACTCAATTTTCTGTTTACTGACTTAATCTCACTATAAACATCTCCTTGATAAGATTGGCTGCAGCTTTTTTTTTGTGACAGCATGTTCATATTTTGTGTAATATTTCTGTAAAGTGGTGTTTTAAAAACTGAGCTAAAGTCTAAAATTAAAAAACTGAAACCCCAGCCGACTTATTTTAAAATATCATAAATAAACCTGCACTTGCACTTTGAACTGACATTGATAATGGAACGATAGTGTTCCAGTAAATCCTGGCATTTTCCTACTTCATCACTTTCACAAGATAAAAGACTGTGATGAGATCTTATCTTGAAAAGATAAACACTAAGTTTTGGTTTTGTTCATCAAGCTTGTTATTGGAAAAGGGTTTACTTCCAATCACCTGCAACTCAAAGATCAAAGCAGGGACATATATACATGTAAGCACAGTATCTCTCCCCCTGATCTGGATGCTAGTGGCTGTTGCTACTTATTCAGTCTGTACCAGCAATAAGGTGATAATAATAATTCCTTCTATAGCACTTTTCTGGACACTCCACTCAAAGCACTTTACAGGAAATGGGGCTGTCCTCCATCACCACCAGTGTGCAGCCCCACCTGGATGATGTGACGGCAGCCATAGTGCACCAGTACGCTCCCCACACGCCAGCTCTCAGTGGGGAGAAGAGTAGAGATTGCAGAATTCTGTCACACTTGAAAAAAAGAGGTCCACCATCCTCTTCTGTCCTTTAAATATTTTCTGAAAAAAAAAACAGGATATTCTGGCCTGCACTGTCACATTTCTTTCATCCGTGAAAGGATGGAAATTCTAGCATGTATAGAGTGATCCTTTGTGGTTTTCTCAGGGAGTTCTCATTTTAATTCATCTAGTGATGCTTCTTCAATTACAACATTAGCATCCAACATGATTTATTAACAGACCAGCACTCGTCCTATCTTGGTTGATTGGTGGTTTTCTTGGCCTTCCATGACTGTATTTCAGAAATAAAAAAAAAGAGTTCTGAGAAAATGCTGAGCACGTATGTGCTAAAAAAAAACAATATTGAGTGGGAGTTGAAAAAGAATCATACAGATTATGAGAGATTAGTGCTTTAAAAGAGCTGTGAATTTCAGCCATTGCTTGAAACGCGAAATTCATTTAGTCTCTTCCATCTCATTTTCAAATGCCCTGACTAAGCTAGGGCACATTTCCACATCTATTCATTAAACAAACCCGCACTGTGACTGAAAGTGTTGTGAAATTAATTTCCCAGAGATTAATGGCACAAATGCTAGACCCTCATTTTGTGGGGTCTGGTGTGTGTTTACTGTATGTGTGGAATGAGATGGGTCCGTGTGTGTGTGGGACTTTACAAAGATTGAACAACAGAGGAAAAATACCAGGGAAATAACACAACGGATACATAAAATTAATCAACAGTCCCTCAGGGCAGTGACTTGTTTTTGTATTTCTTTTACTACATCAGTGTAGTACAGTAATTGTGCAATGCAGTGCAGTAATACCCCTGCAGAATTGGTATCAGTTTTGTTTGCTTTCTTCTAAAACACGTGGTCTGTCCAGTGTCCTTATGATTTTCCTTAATCAAATTTTATTTTCAGGCTGTGAGTCTTGATGCTCAAACCTTTATTCTGTATGAAATGCAGCATATGATGACGCATCTTGCAGAGATTCTTTTGAGGAGACTGTTCTGCTACCACCATTCACACAGCTTATGTGAACTCTCAGCTTTCTTGCCATTAACTTTTTTAACTAGTAACTATTCCTGCCACTACTGTCACATTCTTTAAAAAATTATGCAAGCTTTATCTTTCCGATGCTGCTTTTTTACTATATTGTTAGGTGTAATGTTCTTTTGCCTGTAAATATCGGATTCAACCCAAACTAGTCAGTGCATGTTTAAAGTTTTATTTGCTGTGACCCACGGGCATAAACTGAGGCATAAAAAGTTCTCCGTAGATTTGTGTGTCTGTGAGAGAAGAGGGTAATGCATTTTAATTACAAATTAAATCACGGGGTTTTCTGAATCTGGTATTTTGTGGTATTATGCATGCTATGGTTGACCTTGATTTGCAAATTCCTGGACAAAGATCTGAATGTGTATTTTTGTTCAAAAAAGTCTGCTTTGGAAGTTGTTTTCAATGCTAGGTTAAAATATGTTGAAAATGCTATGCTCCAGCTTAATGGAAAGACTTGAATTTGACAGCTTTGGGGAAACTTAATTTTTCAGGAACATACTATTTATTCTTCTTACTATCTCTTCTCAAACACGTCTGCAGAGCTTGCAGTTCCACTTGATAGTCACCCTGCAGAGTTGTCCTTACTGGGTATTTAGATCACTAGATTTCAAGACACCAAAGGTGGGTCTTTTTTAAATATTAATTTTCCTGCAAAAGCAATGAGAAAAAAATGATAAAAAATGAAGCGCTTTCACATGAAAATGTAAAATAAACATGATATGAACCACATATCGAACCTTAATAACTGCTAAAAAAGAACATAGCACAGTGAATGCACACTGTAAGGAAGTTGAAACTGATAATCATCAATTTTCAAGTGAATTAACTTTTAAGCAAATTCTAGGTATTTAGTGGTACCTCTTTTCACTATGGTAAAAGGTCTACTCATTGCCAGTAAGTAAGAAATAGATATTTTTCTGTCTTATAAAATATACTACAGGCAAAACAATAAACCTGAATTTAACATGGGCTGGTCAATGCAGGACTGACCACAAAGCAAGTTTTGAAGCCCACAAATAAACCAAACATTCTTTCTGCTGTTGGCTGTCACCCTCTGTGATTTTCAGTGGAATACTGTAATGATTGCAATCTAAGCACATAGAAAATGTTAATCGTTATCTTGCTTATCCTTGCAACATGCGAGTATCCCTGGGTTGGGATTCGTCTGGTAACTCCATTTTCTTCTATAACGACATGGAGCACAGCATTTTTTGGAGTAATTTTCTAAAGGCTTTTCTACGATGACCCGTCAGATGTTCTGCATGACTGACTATAATATATAGTATAATATAGCCTATTTCTGGACTCATAAGTCAAAGCCTCTCAAGGTCCTAATTTTCCTTCTCCAAGAAAGTGGGTTGAAATGGGTTGTTGTGGAGGTTCTAGGAAGTTTTTAGCAGCAGTGTTTTCGCAACACATGCACTGTAATAAAAATTGTCAAGAGACAATTGGGCAGACATGTGTTTCCTATCTGCTAAAAGACTACTCTGACATCTTGGAATTAACACAAGAGAATCTGAGAAGGCTCTTTAGTTCACTGAACTCAATATAGGAGCATTTTTCGTAGGAGCTTAAGTGGTTCAAAGCAATCATTTTATTAATACAAATATCAAGGCAGCACATGAGTTGAGGTTGTGAAACGTGATCAACCCTGAGAGCTGCAACGCTTTGTGGTTTTGTACGCGGTGACGTCCTCAGCCATAACATAATATTAGAGAAATAATTTTAAGACTTCTCTACTCCTGAGAATAGTTTATTGATATCCTTCCTTGAAATGAGTGCGTCTGAAAACCATCAGCTTTAAAAGACTGTGGTAAATGCTAAATATGTTACATTGTGCCAATTATTACATCACTTAAATCAATTTCAAAGTCAAAAACAAAAAAAACAAACCTGTATCTTTTATGTCTGAACAGAGAATACTATATACTGTAGGGGACTGCTAGGGGCACTGATTAAAGTATTCAAAAGTCTCAAAAGCCAACTCAGCATGCTGCTTCAGAATCCAGATAGAAACACAGACCAGAAGACACAAGTGGAAATGAAGTGGTAGTGTATTTAAAACTAAAAACAAGTGTCCCACAGCCCCCAGTTACCATAACAAATGCCCCCCAAACAGTGCAGTTGTTGGTTGTTCTTAAAAAATAAAGTGTCCCTGGTGCTCGAGTCAAGTCTGCTCCCGGGTCTCCCTGCAAACTCCATTCTTCTCCAAAGCCCTGAGTCCTCCGACTTTAACCAGATTTCTTACGTCCTTTTTCGGCTGGCTAGCCCCACTGAGTGTCTCACTCGGGAGCAGGTGTATCATGTTCATTACAGGAGGAAGCCTGGGAAAACAATATGGGTCATCCGAGACCTGTCTGCGGCCAGTGGTGCCCTAGAACTCGTTTCGTTCCCTGCCCCCCTCTACCCAAGGTCTGGTCCAAACTGGCACAGCACCAACAGACGTTTCCACTTTAGATTTTGGAAACTGACCAGACCTTGTGTTCCTCCATCCTTATCAATTGCCTCCTACCCCACCTTTTCCATTCTTCATTGTTGGCACTCTGTGGCACGTGTACGGGAAATCCCAAACATATCGTAAACTTGCAAAAGCTATATAAAGCTCTCGCAACACGGTGTTAAATTGAGCACAAGAAAACTTGCGCATGATTTCGTAGAACAGGAATCGAAGATTTCATATCCTATAGCTATAGTTTTTTTTGAATGCCTCTGAAAATGTGTGTCCTGTAGATAATGCTTTAAATGCATTGCCGAGAAGGGGAGGAGTGTGTTTTTCTCCTCCTCTTTCCCTGACTGGACAGAAAATCCCCTCTAACGACTCGTATGCTTAATCAAACCTTCAAAGCAGGAGACTCCTCTCTCCCTTAAACTATGTCTAAGTCAAAGAAGCGAGTGCGCTGCTGCGTGTGTTTCGCCCTTATTTGTGTCATATTGATTTCCATTTTACTCATTATTTTGTTAGTGAAGAGCAACAGATGTGAATACACGCAGGCTGCTGTAGCTGCAGATTCAGAGATTTGCTCTGACGTCGGCAGGTAAAACCATACTTAACATTGCCCTGAAACAAGTTGTGATTGTAACGTAGATTGATAATACGAGCATCCTATTGTTTTGTGAATAACATTAACGATGTTAAAGTATATATAGCACAACACTTTTAAAGTATGTTGTTCTTGAACGAAGTTTATTAGAGGTATTTCATTTGTTTTAGCTTGTAAGATTTAATGATGCACTCTAGAATGTGGAATGTTGTTCTTGAACGTAGCTTATTAGAGTTATTTCACTAGTTTTAGCTTGTAAGATTTAATGATGCACTCTACAATTAATTTACAGATAAAAACAATATTCGTCCTGTTAATTGCAGCAGCAGGTCTGCAGAACTCTGCATTGCGTAGCAGAATCCACGTCGAGTTTCACGTTCACCTCACACACCGTAGTCAACAACGATACTGAAAAAGCAGTTTTTAAGTTGAGCAGTTGAGCCATTTAGCCGAGTCAGGAGGCTATCGTGCCTGTGCAGTAGTTATGATTCCTAGAAATATAGTTTATATGTGCAGACAGTACTTTGCATTTAAACTGAACTTAAGAACTGTACGTTATTTGCATTTTTGGGAGAATGAATGCAAACAGTGTTCTGTTTCATCGCTCGCCGCGGTTGTTGCAAGCTGCAGCCTTTACATTACCTTGAAGATACACAATGACAAAGAAAATGATTTGTACAGTAGATGCTGTGGTAGACCCGCATAGGGTCCAGACGTACACATTATACACGAGCTCTTTTACTGTAATAGGAAGGAGATTATGTCGTTTTCCTTTGCGATCTGTTCTGGGTGCAGCTCTTCCTATGGTTTGTGTCTAAGAATTATTCCTATGACTAGCTGTAGGTATCGGTAGAAAAAGCCGTGTTCAATTTTTTTGGCACATGTTGTCTGTACAACGTACCGTATGCACGCATTAAAGTATACCGCTACATTATGTTAAATCTGTTCCAGCATGATTTTTGAAAATGGGATACGGGCGAATACGTTTGCCATACTATCCTGGAAACCCCCATCCATTAATGTTACTTTGTAACAATTCTCTTTGGTCCATAATGTGTAGTGGGTATTCGCAGTTAAAATAACTTTAAGCCTTCCCGTCTTCAACATGCACTTAATGTAATGTATTGTGAACTTTACTGGAGGTTCAAATCTTAAGAGCTGCGTCTTGGCGAGGGGGTTGAGTACAATTACTAGAGAATTTACAGAATTACAGAGAATGAGAGCGTTGTGAACTTCGGATATCTCTGCAACAACACTGTGCCTGAAGACCGCAAGAGACAGTAATTTATCGCACGAAGAAAACTTGTACTAATGCCAGAATGACCAGGAAGAGAAATACTTAAAGCAGTTAAACAAATGTTTTGATATTGACTGTTGAGTCCTAAATACAGTACAGGACCTTCTTGAAAACCGAAGCATAAATATAACTTTTTTCCAGTTGGCTACTTTATACAAGTATATAATCTATTGCAAAGGAATCTTGTATCTGTGTCAAGAAAATAAATGAATGTAGTTTTATATAGTTGTATACAGGTAAATACGGTATATAATATTGTAAGGAACTACTGTGCTGTGATATATGAAATAAATATATTTAAAAGACAAATCATTATTTAATTTCAGAGTTATATTAGCTCTTATTGTAACTATTTTAAACAGTCCCGGATGATTATTCATCTGTTCCACATCCCAGGAAAGTTTACAAAAGCCCTGCAAAACATGATCTTAAATATTTTCACTTTTCACAGTAAAATGAAAAAAAAAAAAACTCCCCTAAGTTTGTACATGACTGTACTGACTTGTACTTCAGTATGTTCAGGTTTTTCAGTTGCCTATAGTAAAGACACCTGTTTGCTAGTCTTTTGCTGAGTAGGTTAAAGGCTGACTGGGCAAACATGCACAGTGGCACAGATCCAACCAGGAAAGAAACCAGGAAGGTTTCTTGACTGGACTGGTTTCTAGGCTCCCATGCCCTGGAGAATTAATTTGAATATCTGTGTGTATCATTGTACTTTCCGGGTTAAATGAATGAAACAATAGTTATTGAATTTGTGACAAATTGTGAACTGCCAAGTATCATGTATTGTTCATGCCATGATAGCTTTATGGTCCAATTGATTTGGAAATTACAAGGCGGTGTATAAATTTAACAGTCCTTGTTTTTTTTTATCAGGTTTGGACAGAGATGTTACCTAATCCCAGAGAATGGATGTGTCAGTTTGCAGCTCAGTATTTATCACATTCTGTTCTCCCTGTCCTGATGGCTTGACTTCCAGTTTACATTCCTGTTGGCATCTTAGTGATTCCTCACCCATTGCATTTTAGACAAATGTTTTCTCATATGATTGCATAGACCAGGAGTAATCAAATACTGAACACTTCAGCCCATTCCTCTGGGAGACTGGGGGAAAAAAAGGTATTTATTTGTTTGATCTTGTGCCTAAAAGGTCAGCTGGAATGGATTAGAAGGCCTTGATCACCCTGAAGAACAGAATGGGTCTGACACCGTGTCCTCAGATAAGATTTTAAGATGAATGGCTTGGGGGATAGTGTGGGCACTTTGGGATGTCTAGTGTTACACAAATACAAACACTAAAAATGATTTATTTCTCCCCCATGATTTGTTAGTCAGGTTATTCCTGTTCTGTTTTCACTTGAAACTTGTTTGAATTACCAACACCTGAAAGCCTACTCTGTGGCAAGAAATCCTCTTATCCCAAAGAGGAGCTGAGTTACTGTACTCAGAGTACAGTATCTCAGAGGCCTCTGTAGAGAGTGCTCACTTCTCACTACAGAGAGCCACCATTACCCTGTATGAATAGATGAAAGAACAGCTCTCTACCTGCGTTCTTTGTATCCCATCATGTCCCTGTTTCAGACAGCCAATCACCAGCTGCGCCACACAGAGCATTGCCGAAGCATGCTCTTCTTGTGTGCTCAAATCTCAACTGTGACAGCCATTGCTCGGGCGAATACTACACAAGGCTAGATGACTAGTTTAAAAGTTCAAATACAGGAGAAAAAGAGAAGGAGAAAACTTAGCTGAATGACAATGTTATCAGAAAAGAAGAGCAAGATATGGTACATCTAGGTTTCCAAGTGCGCTGTCTTACACAGAAAAGTGATTGTTCAACCAAGGCCATGGTTGATAACGGAATATATTAAGTTTCACCACTTAATGTAAATGGACAGAGTCCTGTTTAATCAGTAGAGTCCCAGTACAGCCCTTCAGTTTTAAGAGCCTCAGTCAGTGGTATCCTCATGTCCGAAACCCTATGTGAATCTTCGTAGCGTGAATGTTAAGCTTGCAGGTGCTGTATTGCAGGCCCCCCCTGCAGAAAGCATGTGCATATTTCAGATACAGTGCAGCCTAGGTTCTCCACTGGCAGTATGGGCACTGGTTATTTCCTTGTCTCCCTTACCAGTTGTTTTTGCTTTTACAGTAGTTCATTGTGTGATGTACTCGTGCGAGCGGAGTGGCTGCAGGCATGTGCGAGTGGATTGTGAACAGATACATTTCATGCACAAAATGAACTCTGCCGTACTCGATTTCATTCCTGTTTAGTTTTGCCTTTTGGGTTCAGACAATATTGCAGATTCTTATCATTCTCCTTTTACAGTGAGATGGCCCGAAACCAGCCTAGTCCCCACTGTGTCTTACCTGCTCCCTACTCTTGCACACTCCCACCCTGTTGTCATTTTTCTTTAACCTCGGATTGCTTGAGGGGAACATTCTAGAATAGAAAAGTGGCAGAAAAGATCAGGCTTAGAAGGAGAGGTTTTGTCTGAAAAGCGTCTCGAATGACCAGTAAAGTCCAAATAAAGGAGAAAAGCTCCAGTGAACTGGAAGACTGACTGGTATTCCAGGCAGAAAGAGTTGTGTTATTCGTCCTGACAGAGGTCGCTTCCCGAGCCAGTTCATGTTGGAAGGCTACTCCGGGTTTTCCAAAACAATATCGTTTTAATTTACTGCTTCTCTTTTTCTTTCCGTGTTCGCATGTGCGTTAAAAGTCACGCTGGTGCATTGAGAATGGTATTTTTTTTTTAAAACCTAAACTGAAAATCACTTCTCTTGCCAGCCATACTGATGTTCTTGGTTCATCGTGTGAGCTGTTGGAGCAGGGGTGAGGGGCAGGTGGCAGCAGTGAAAAGAAAGATCTGACCACTGGTCATTTCCTGTTATGCTGGATAAGGTTTCAATAAGGTATTCATTTTGGAACTTGCATCTTCCAGGGCCTGTGTTTTCTTGTGAGCATGCTTCAGTTACCTTCCAGTGTGGTAATGTGGTAATAGGGTTGTTTGCACATAGTGTGCCAAAAAAGAACAATGCCCACAATTTCTGATTAAATCCTTTTTCAAGCAGTTAAAACAAACAAGCTTATGAAAACAACTTTATAGTATGTTGTTCTACTGGCTTCCTCTGATTCTGTGAAAATGTTCTTCCATCGGGTTTTCTGGACATTTTCCTGCAACAATAGAAAAACTTGTCTTGGTAATTGGCCCCAAGCAAGACAGATATATGACAGATTAATTCCAATAAAACGATCTGTTCATTCCACAAAGAATTCTCAAATTGAGCAGCACAAGGGAGTCATGTAATCATCAGACTTCCGTTCTGTATTCAGATGTTTTCCCCACACAATTCTCACTTACAGGTAATTCAATTATTACCTGATAGCACCCTGTATTTTCAGATCTTGATTTTGGAATTGTCTTTTGGATTGCCTTTCTGGTTTTTGGACTTTATACTTTTTCCTTTGACTACAGCTCCTGGCTTCCTGATATTCGGCTGCCTTGTCATCTCGTCACCTGCATAGGGTCATAGCATCATAGCGTGACACGGGGGATCTGGGTAGCTTGTTTCAGAGTCCCACAGCCCTAAAAAAATTGTGACGTGCTTCTTGCCCAGTGTTGTTTCCTTCACACTGTATGAAAATGGGAGACATGTTTGGGTACTCGACACATGCATCATCTGTTCCCAGTTTGTCTTTGGGACTGAAAGAGAGAAAGACGCACACTGTGGATCCAGTCTTGTTGACTCTTCATTGACTGTCAGTCCCCACCTTGAGCGATTGAGGCCTGCCCTCACCCAGTTTGCCATCTGCCTCACTTGATTACAAATAACAAGTCATTCCAAGGATTAACTTCCAGTATTCACCATCACCAGAGCCAATATCAGGATTCCTCTTGACTCTGATTTCACTTTGCTCCCTGAATTAGGAGCTTATTCAATTCCTTTCTATAAGCAATCCGTAGGGACTTTACCCAGGGCTGTACTGTATATGCTTTCCCAAGAGCATTTCTCTTCATGTAGCTGAAATGACTATAGAATGTTGAGGTGTTTATTTTCTGCTTGTGATTAACGTTCAGATGCCTGTGTTTTTTTTACCATGTATGGCTGAGATCTTCTTGTTACTGCTCTAGATGGAATAAAAGCTACCGACCCTTAATGGGGGTTCATGAGTAAAGTTTGCGAGGGATAAACAACAGACAAGGCAGTCTCACCCAGCTGTCTGACATCTCAGTCACTACCAGATGACGCTATAGAAGTAACTGTTGCACAGCCTCTTCTTGCATTTTTTGCAGTCATCCCGCCTCCAAGAATTGGTTATCTCCTCTCTCTGAAGGGGGAGTTGAGCCTCCTCTCCCATGGCCAGGAGGCAACCAAGAGGGTTAAGCCAAAACGTATTATACTTACAGAAAGCATGTGATTCTTGGATGTTGGCATTCATCATGAAATTAAATTTAAAAACATTTTTTTTCCTGCACTTTTTAGCCACAGGGGTTGGATTTCCTACAGATCTGAACTTCAGAATGGATAGATAGTCCCAACACCTCTGCGTAGTACTGCAAGCACACAGTTAGTTTTAAACAAGTGGCTTTTGGTCAATGTGGAGGTAATTGAAGCATACCTGTGTGTATTTGCAGTCTAACCACATATTATCCGGCAATTGCAGTATATCTGCCTGGCATATTCTGTAGCAATGCACGAAGGTGTGTATTATTGTAAGAGCACGGTGTGGTTAAGAAATAGAACAGATTCAAGTGTTTATAAACCTTCAAAAGCATGACATCTAGATGGGATGCCACAACTTGTTTCTGTTATGCTTCACGTGTTGGGGAAAAGTGCGTTGCTTTCTGAAGAATCTCTGCTCATCTTTAATCAGTTTCTCCCCCTTTCATCCTTTTCTTCTATTACCGAATATGAAATAAGATACAGAGGGTAGGCTTGGTAATAATGGCACTTATTAGGGAAATTAAAGTTTTAGTATGTTTTTATGTAGACAGAAAGTTCCTAGAAGAGGAATGTGAATTTCAAATTGAAGTGTTGCGGAGTAAAACAACAGGAGTTCATTTGGCTCATCTAGCCTGTTTGCCAGAAAGAGAATATCAGCTTCAACAGCATTAATGCGTAACTTGTTCAAGACTCCCCAATTTCAGTTTCTGAAATTTCAGTATCTGCTGTCCTTAGAGTTAAACTCAACATACACCTTTTCCTGTATTTTTGAGGCTACAAATATTCCACTTAAATTATTAATAATAATAATTTCTGGACACTCCACTCAAAGCACTTTAGAGGTAATGGGAACTCCCCTCCACCACCAGTGTGCAGCCCCACCTGAATGATTTAAAAAATCATCCAAAACCACTAATTTAAAAAAAAAAAGCTGTTGTCTTGCTTCACTTCATCCACAAGTTAAGCTCTGACTAATTTGGTGCTATTTTTTTTAAAGATGATTTATTTTTTATTTCTGGCCTTTTTCGTCCGGGCTATAGCTGAAAAAAACAACTGTGGCAGTGACACATAGTGCCCTGTTTTGCTCTAGGATAGATGTAAAAGACTTCAAACTGAAAGCCAATTTTTCTGTGTGAACGTTAAGCAGTCACATTGATGTAACGTTTGGACCTGACTTGCTGTCTGGCTCTGCTCCTGCTTCAGAGTGCTGCAGGATTGTATTTTTTCCTGAACTCCTTCCTCCTTCCCCTGGGTGGAACTTGCTGGGTTTGTGGTTATAGCCTTTGTTTACATTTGACTGCAGAAAGCTGGCATTTGAAAAGGGGCGATGAATGAAATGTTCTTGCAACATACAGAAGCATGTCTCTTACAACAGTGAAAGTATGAAACCATACCTGTGACTCTACATCTTATCCCAGCGAGATTTTCTGCCTGGCACTGGTCTGCACTGTCATTTAACCTAATATAAAAACATTATAAAGTCTCATGGCCACTGACAAGGCCAAGCACACTTGTGATAGGAGTGGACCCTTGCACAATGGACAGGCAACTCTAAACTTCATACTAAATGAGCACAACAGATGTCATAGAGAGATAACGGACTGATACATCCTAGACCACCTTATCTGTGGTCATCTGTAGTGCTTACTCATGGGGGTGTGCCTTAATATTTTTTTAATGCATACAGGAAGCATTAAAATGTGCTGCATAACCTATGCTATTAGGGACTCAATTTTAACTGGCTTGCCACTAGAAGCCACTGCTTAGGGCATAGGCGTTTGTAATGTAGTTCATTTGGGTGTAAATCCCAGATGGGTTAATTGGTTAGATGTAACTCACATTCTCACATGGGGTTCAGGTATGTAAGGGTGTGTCACTGAGAGTTGGGAGTTAAGGTTTGAGCTGGGGCATTAGTAAGAGTGTGTGCATGTGTGTATTTGAGTGAATTTCCTAGTAAAGATTCCTTCACTGTACCTTTGGAGTTTTGTAATGTGGTCAGATCCCTTGAGCTTCCTTATAATAGGTTGCGGGGGTCTCACAAGTCCAATTTCTGATTTAGAAGAAAACTGGACTGTAAATGTGTGACATTGATGTCGGTATTAAGAGAGTAGTTAAGAAGTTAATCCTTTCATATTCCCTTGTATTTGTATGGGGGGTTGGGAATACTATGGAACAAGGTCTAAATTCTGTGTTCTTTAATTAAGCAGTTAATTAAGGTCAGTGGTTCCCAGTCCTGGTCCAGGAGCTTCTTAGATCAAGCAAGGCTTAAATTATCTAATGAAGGTGGGGTGGAATGAAAACCAGTAAATGTGTGAGGAACCAGGGCCACCAGGATGGGGAACCACTAATTCAGGCATTTCAGGGTCAGGTCCTCGTTTTATGACCTTTTTAATCAAAGGTTGTTTATGTCAAGTGTTGTGTCTCTACTGTCTAACTGTACACCTTTCCAGTTGCTGTGCAGTTCAATATAAACATTTGTATCCTGCAGAGGAACAGATGTCTGGAATACGTTTCTTTTATCTTCTTTCAGGAACATACTGCAGGAGGGAGGCTCAGCAGTAGATGGCGCCATTGCAGCACTGCTGTGCACATCATTGGTCAACCCACAGAGCATGGGGCTTGGTGGCGGTGCAATATTCACTGTTTTTGAAAATCCAGGTAAAGACGCAGTCAGTGCTTAAGCAACTATATTTGTCTTGTCAAGGGCTGGAAGTACCCATTTAGATTTAACTTTAACCAAAAAATGTTTTCTGGAACTTCAAATAAAAGATGATACCTACTTGACTGTGTGACATAGTTATGCATGTCTGTAATGGCGTGCTGTGTTTTTAATGAATGAAGAACCTTATCGGTATTATTAGCACATATCATTTTTCATGCATGTAGGACAGCACAGGGAAGGCTGGTTCTAACATATATTGTCGTGAAATTAAGTGGTGAAATAGAATAAGCAGAAGAGACTCATTGATGTATGAATATTCTAATGGACAGCCAGCTGCCATATCACCCTGCAGCTCACAACTGGCAACCCACTGCAGCTCAGCAGGTGTGAGCCTGGTCTGTACCTGGATGGGAGACCTCCTGGGAAAACTAAGGTTGCTGCTGGAAGAGGGGTTAGTGGGGCCAGCAGGGGGTGCTCACCTGATGCCCCAGTATAGTGATGGGACACTACACTGTTGCAACACTCCATGGATAGTGAAGGGCATGACAAGGCACAGAAAGGTGTCATGGCCATCCACTGCAACCAAGGAAGTCTCCAGTCGTGACGACGTCTCGTACCGCTGGACCCAGACTTCTGAGGTCGAGAGAGTGGGACTGCCCCAGTGCCACAGCTTTCCCACTTCAAAAAGCTCTCCTGCACTGGTTTCTTCATGCAGCTCATCCTTCAGACAGATCAATCTGGACAACCGTCAACCATTCTGATGCACAATGGTGAAGAAAAAGAGTTTTAAATTCCAGTAATAAGTAAAACCGCATGCTGTTTCTGCCTGACTGTGGACACGATGAGGAATGTTTCAGGGTGGGGAGTGGCAGTCTGAAGAGAGATTGGCCTGCACTGCTCGTGAGATGAGCACAAGAACACGCAGTTGCAGCACCTGCAGCACAAAAGAGTCTGGGAATCGGACCTTGCACCTCGCGGGCTCTCTAATGTTTCTGCTCTGTTTCACTCTTCTTCAGACCACGTCAAAGTTATCAACGGCAGAGAGAGGGTCCCCAAGGTGTTTAAACGGGATTTGCTGAATGACTGCCCTCAAAATACCGCACTTCTTCCAGGTACAGAGATGGCCTTCCCTTTTCACATCAGCAGATTTCACTGCTTTCAACTGATCAGATTAATACCAGTAGTGAAAGAAATGGGTGCCATTCAATATGGAAAGCACTTTGGGATGAAAGGTGCTATATAAATTAATTTTGAATAGTGAGCAAGTAGATTTGAGTAGTGTTATTCTTTATTCTTTCTTATTCTTCTCAGACATACACCAGATGTTCAGAGTTTTATATGTTAAAAATCTGTGTAAATATCCATTCAGGAAAAGTGTCCTACAAGTGTAAGGAATTATTATTATCATCCGCATAATTGTTTTAATAATTCCCAGGCTGTACTGGCATTAAACCTGGAAGTTCCAGGAGGGAAATAACCTGATGAGCTAATCATTCTGCAGATTCTCCACCTGCTTGGAGGCTGTTCAGGGCTTACATGCTGAGAGATGAGCGTGCCATCTTCTGTTGGCCAGAGAACGCCTGCAGTGGCAGCAGAGACAAGGGTGGAGGATTTAATTCACAGATGAATGCTCTTTTGGCACTGCAAGAACGGTGTGTGGGGATGTTGTGTCAAGCGCAGTGTTTAACCTTGTGTTGGGTCTGAACAACCAGTCTTTGCCCACTGACTAGCGCTGAACCAAAAGACTGGCAGAACACATGTTTGCCCAGAGGCTGGCTGGGTCTGTACAGCCAGGAATGTGCTATTGCCCATGGAGGTCATACCCAGAGCTCATTTTGTAATGTTTTCATTTTGACCCCTACACCTTTTATACAGAGAATGAGCCGTTTAAAAATTGTACATAAAATCTTTTGTGTTGCGTTTCTACTGTGCACCAGCTCGTATTGATTATTATTGATTGTTGGCATGTATCCCAGTATCCCTTCTTAAGCCCTTCTGGTCGAATTTCTTTTCTTTTTTCTCTGAGATTGAGTGGTCTCAAGTAAAATTTGGATGTTTGAATTAATTCAGCCTTTTTCCCTTTATTGTGGAGTACCATTCATTAAAAAAAAAATTATACAGTATATACGTTTGGAGACTTCAAATTTATGTCGGTGCTAACTAATCGAGTGATATACTCTGTTACCATCCTAGTCGGGTGTTTTTACTGTGATATTATGGTAATACTGGTAGATCAAGATGGTGGCATAGTGGTACAGTGGTTAGCATTGCTGAGGCCCAGGGTTCGATTCCGGAACTGGGGTGCTGTCAGGGGTCTGTATGTTCTCTGCTGCTGCCTTGCACCTCTAGTTTGGTGGGGACAGGCTCCTGCTCCCTCATGTCCCTGAACTGGAGTAAGTGGTTAGGAAACGGAAGGATGGAGGGTAGGAAAAGTGATTTGAGCCTCCCCCCTTAGAATTATGAGTTGTAATGGGCTCCTCATTTTATGCTTAATTCCTCTTCATGTCCAATGGTAATTGTTTCTTTAAATCCTGTATTTTCTTTGCTTTCCTGTTCCTTCCCAAGGTAGCCAATGGATAGGTGTACCAGGCGAGATTCAAGCCTACAAGAAAGCACATGACGTGTATGGCAAATTGCCCTGGAAGACACTCTTCAAGCCTGCAATTAAACTGGCCAGAGAAGGGTTCCCACTCCCCTCCGTTCTGGAAAAATACCTTTTCTTCTTTCAAAAAGCTATGGTAAACTCATCGCTATGGTAAGTGATAACTGTGTGTTGACCACAATGTAATACCAAAGCCTTTTTTTATCTTTAACCTCTCTCATACAAATAAAAGAAAATGCTTTCACAGTGTGACAGTATGCTCTTTTGTTTCAGGACTATTCTATACCCATATAACACTAGCGAGAATCTGATTTGACTGATTTTCTTTTATTTTCCTTTTTTGAGTTAAATAGTATACAAAGGCTCAATTAAAAAGAAAGAAACAGAATCCCATCAGTCGAAGGGTAGTGACACAATTTGTGACTGTGCTTCCAGCTGTCATTGTAAACAAGCTTTCTGACTGCATTTATGTAGCAATTAAAAGAGTCTACATCTACCTCAGCCACACAGAGGCTTTAAACTGTACGACCAGGGTTTGATGCTTGTTTTATAAGAGGTTTGTTACATCTCCAAATTCAATGAAAGTGTTTCTTCTCTTGTGTATATTTAAGCATTCATTTTTTTCCTGTTTTCTTTAATAGTTCAGTGTTTTGTAAAGATAATAAGGTGTTAAAAAAAGGGGATATGCTCCAGTACCCAGAACTGGCCAAAACCATGGAGATCATAGCAGACAAAGGGCCTGATGCCTTTTATGAGGGAAAACTGGCTGAAGATTTAATCCAGGACATAAAAAGTGCAGGTACTGAACTGGCTCTCTGATCTTGTCTCATGTCTAAGTTTGATTAACTTTCACCTTACCCTGAGCGAAGCCAGCTTCACTATTACTGGGGATTCATTTGTTTACCAGTAGAATAGATCAGTGCTTAGGGCAGATTTTGCTTTGGCACAAGTCAGGCTTATGTTTATTTGGATGAGGTCTTTATGTGGAAGACGCTGTCCCTAAGCCATCATTGAACTTGTGTACACTTAACAGTGTAAACTGAGGCAACTCAATCTGCAGCTCAATCCATGCCTTAATTGCCACCATTTTTAATTGATTGATAATTGGCAATCAAGGAGCTGGTTGCACCAAGGTAATGCATTGGAGCTGATCGGAAAAAAGGCTCCAAGACCAGTAGCCTGAACACAAACATATTTTCCTAAAACTTCAAAATTTTACTTGTAGTGACTTGTAGTACACAGTATTGCCACATTCAGCTCTCTTTAAGCTATGTGCTATTCAGCAGCATCATTTATTGCTTTGGTCAGGTTTCTTATTAATATCTGACATCCAAGATTTAAAATCTATCTTGCATGTGGTGTGTATCTGTAATCTTTAGGAATTTAGAACACTTCCTGGGTTTTCCATAGGCAATGGTCTTTCTTTTGGGTTGCAGGTGGAAGTTTGTCTCTTGAAGATTTGAGATCTATGCAGGCTGAGGTGAAAGATGCGTTGCCTGTTCAATTGGGTGACTACACCATGTATATACCCCCCCTGCCAGCTTCCGGTTCACTTCTCAGCTTTATACTCAACGTCATGAAAGGTCAGGGCTTTTCAGATATCCTGTTCCACTGTCCAGTAAATGACCTTTTGGAAAGACGGCACTCTTTTACACTGTTTAATAATCTTGTTCTGTCGAACCCTACAAATCAGATCTCACTGTGTGCAATCGAGTACATGTCCGTGATTGTGTCAGAAATTGTACTGCTGAGCAGAACTGGGCTTGTGATGGGTTTAAATGGAAACCTGATGATACGGCTCACGCTTACCATATGTGATCTTTTTTCTTCTGCTTAGGTTACAGTTTGCGTCCCGAGTCCATGAAAGGAGAAGAAGAAATTTGGACCTACCATCACATTATAGAGACTCTAAAATTTGCAAACGGGCTGAAGAAATATGTCAAAGACCCAGCCTTCAGTGATGGGAATGTGAGTGACATTTAATGCAAGAGTAGTTCAAACTGGGGTTGATCTCTCCCTGCCAGTAGTGAGTAGGGAAGAAGGCAGCAGGGTCTCCTTTAGACTTTTAGAAGGAACTGTATGGTGGCTTGTGAGTGCTTCTCTAGTGGCTAATAGAAGATATATTAGTATGTCTGTTGCTAACAGTATTTCTTTTTGCAATGATAACATATCTATTTTGGGACCTGGTGATCATTCAGTCTCCTTTAATACAAAGTTAGAAAAACCAAATGAGCTGTAGCGCCACTTAAAAAGGGGGCATTCAAATGCCTTTGGAGTAGTCTCTTCGTGCTCAGTACTGGCAGTGATGATGGGGTGCCAGACGTTTTCAGAGCTTCAGTCGGCGTCGTAACAAGTGGGCTGTAATTGATGTGATGTACTGCACGATTCAAGGGTGTGAGGATTCATCCTGACTTAATGAAAGCCGGCATGGATATTTATCTTGACTTCATGAAAACATTCGCGCTAATTTATTGTGGCATATAACTTAGCATGCATTGGATGTACGACGTGCTGTAACGCTTTTATAATGAAAATGGCATTGAGAAGTAAATTGTGTCACTTACCATGCAGGTTCAATCTATTAGAATTCAGTGCTGATAGTCTGCGATACTCTGACCAAACCTTGCAGGAACGCAACAATAATATTTTGATTCCCTCAGTACTTAAGGACGCAACTCTTGTCAGCCCACTTTCTGTTTAATGTTATTTGTCTCCCACGCAAAGCCATTAGGTTCTCTGAAACTTTATGTCTGGTCCCAGGTTGAATAAAATTAATGCTATCACTTAAAGCAAGCTTCATTAGTTTTGTATTATGTGCCACTGAGTAACGCACAAACTGCTGCTGAGCGGAATGCCATTTTAATAACTGCTTTCAGCACAAATGAGGTCATCAGCGATATACTTGGAAATACATTTGTCCTTTGTGGTGTTGCATATTCATCAGCGTTGCACAAACACCATGGGAATTTAAGTGTTTCATGAGCTGAGGAAATTGGGTTTCATTAATTAAATCTTAAGGCTTTGGTTTAAGGGGTGATGAGTTTAAATAAGTTTATTTTTTCTAACTTGAGGAACTGCTGAAAATCTGCTCTGATTTGTTTATGAGAAACAATGAAGACTTGAAAGGAAAACCATAATAACTGAGCCCCTTAGAAGCTGCAGGGCTCCTAGTTCTAGTTTTGTAAGTATGTTCAGTGAGGTGTGACGTACAATAATGCAGTGGTTGTGAGTGCTTTTCATTTTGAGTTAAGCCTGAATTAAGGTTAGGTCTAGGTTTAGGATAAGTCTAGGCATGGGATTAACATTAGTTCGTGTTGTTATATTCATAATGAACATAAAGAAATACATGAGTGAGACATACAGTAGAACCTCCATGATCCTATATTGGATGCTATTCACTTTGACTCTCATCCTATACCTGTGAAGTTTGTAATGACATTTTTATGTTGAAATTTGTTTCAGTGGTGTTCACTTAGAAGAATTAAGGATTTTTCTCCCATCGTTGCCCACCATTTTGTAAATTGATTTTTGTTTTAAAGGACACATCCCATTTGGTTAGTTTGGATTTTGCTGACAAAGTCAGAGCCATGATCAAGGATGAGCCCCAGCCACTCCAGTACTACAACGTGATGCCTTCTGCGGACAGCATGGGCACCTCCCACCTGTCAGTCATAGACAAAGATGGAATGGCCGTTTCTGTGACCAGCACCATCAATCAAATGTAAGTGGATACAGCAGTCCTCGCTGCATATGTTTGGTGTGCTTTACAACACGCAGTTGCATCTAGTTTTTATTTTCTGTGCATACAAAATCAGATCACTGTACCCAAAGATCCTGGAAGATTGATGATACATTTGATAAATGATTTAACAATGACTGTAAAATTTGCAACTACATGACTTTAAAATAGTTGTAAAAAAAAGATCTCTTGGACACCACTGAGGAAAAATGTGGCTCTTTTTGGAGGTTTGATGTACAGTAGGTCATCTTCTTAAACTAATTGTAATCATGAATTATTTTTGTAAGTACCAGAGGATTGCATTCCACTGTGCTCAGTTGTAGATGAAGCTGACTCAGCTGGACACTGGAGTTATTGGTAAAAAGAGCTTGAACATCTTAGTCTAGTTAATTTCACACACACAATTTTTTTTTCTTTTCCTAGGTTTGGTTCAACAGTGTACTCCCCCAGAACTGGAGTGATACTCAATAATGAGCTAGCAGATTTCTGTGGGAGAGCAACTAAAATCTCTGCAGGTACTACAAAATCGATATTTTCCTTTTCTTTTCAAACAAATTTTTCTGATTTCTGAGCTGATGGTCTGACCTGGGGAAGTTGCATGTGACTAATGGCTCTGCTATACAAAAAGAGTATCAGATGACAGGAGGCTCAGCCCATCTAGTCAGTTTGGGAGTTTGGTTGCTACTGTACAGTAGTTAAAGATTTTGACTAGCCATTTTCCTGATCGAAAAAGAAGGAAGGATACTGTTTGTGTTGCACCTTGTGCAGCATGACTGGATAGCTGTCTCCAGACTCCGACAATCCTTTGTGTAAGGAAATGCCTACTATTCTCAGCAGTTTCTGCTTGTATCCTGTGGTTCATGATTCCTTGTTGTTCTTGTCTACTGGGTTGCTTTTATCAATATCTTTGAAGATCCTGAATATCTGAATCTAGTTTTCTGGTATCTGGCTGTGTCTTTGTTATTCAGGGGAGCAACCTCCTTCATCAATGGTTCCAACAGTGCTGTACTCTAAACCACAGAAAACGGTGCTGGTGGTAGGGGGTGCTGGAGGAAGCATGATTGTCAGTAGTGTTGCATTGGTAAGTTCCCAAATCGTCCCCTGAAGTCTCAACCAGAGACGGGCGCCTCTCACATTCTCACCAATATGCCCGACACCTTTGGCACTCTGCATTACTGAAAGGTGGTTTCTGTCTGTCGTCCTTCTTGCAGGCCATCATGAATCATATTTGGATGGGAAAAGACTTGAAAGATGCAATAAGTGCTCCCGTGGTGTTTGTAGACTCCTCTAATGGAGTGAACTTTGAGAAGACTTTTGACCAGGTAAATCCCCACAGACTAGAGCCTGTCCTGCTTGCTCAATGGCAGGGAAGCAGTGCTACTGGTACATTGCAATCCATACGACCTCCTGCATGGTCATAATTCATTTCTAGCATAATTGGCTTGCTTGCTTGTTCTTATAAAAATGACATGTTTCCTGAAAGATTCAGTACTGTGTATTGCTTGTTGAATTTACAGTGTATGTTCAAGTATATGATGCCAGGCGGATGTTCCTTCTTTCTTTAGGCTGTGAAGGAGAAGTTGAAAGCCATGGGTCACAAAGAGGGAAAGTTACAACATTTCTTCAATGTGGTGAATGCTATATCCAAACAAGGGAGCTGCATCACAGCGGTGTCAGATGCCAGGAAGGAGGGGAAAGCAGCAGGATATTGAGACATTGCCTGCAAGAGCTGTGGCTTTTGAAAATGAGCTGTGGCTATGATGTGGCCACATTGCCATCATGTTATCATTTCTGTACTGGAACAACAGTGGAGGTTGGATTTCCCCCAAAAACCACTTGAGTGTTCAGTAATGAACTTGACACTTTGGCTAGTATGTAGTAGCGGGCTCCACATTGCTCATTTGCCACCATGATCTTCATCGTGAGTTGGCCTTACAACCTGCCCTAGTTTGTGGCGTATCCTACCTTTAAAGATCTGGATGTTCCAGCTGAGCCTTTCGTTCTGTTTTAATATCTGAGTTTTATGTACAAAGCTGCAGGGCGCAGTCGTCTTCTCTTTTTTTTTTTGTCTGGGCTACGTATCCACATTGCAGTGTTGGTTCAGTGCAGAAGTGATCTGTGCAAGACAAGCTGGAGGCGTTTTCCTGTCTTGCGTGAGACGGGGGGTGTGGTGGCCGTACCGCCACCTGTTTGCTGACTTGGTATCCATTGCCTGCACCATGCCTGCTCCTCCTTCACTTCAGTCTCCATCGGTGCTCCTGCTGAACATTGCATATCCCCATCTACCGGGTCAAACAAAGCTCTCCCCTTGGTGAGTTAGACACACTAGTCTTTCTCTCTGTACTACGGCACACATTCTCGGATGAGTTCCTGCAAATCTTTATAGACAACCTTACCTGCTTCTACAGCCTCATGCTCACAGAAATCTGCATCAGCGCTTTGGGGATCCTTGGGGGGGTTGTGACCTCCCTTTGGCCAACACTATTATTTCTACAGCCAGCCATGATCATTCTAAAGTGTTAAATACACTATCCCATTATATATATATATCAGCATTTTGCCAGATTGTAGAATTCGGCTGAACTACTGAAACTTATCTAGAGCTGTCATTAAATACACGAATAGAGTGAATCCATTCCTCCTTAGCTTTTTTTAAAATTGTGCTTTTTTTTGTTGCGCCAGTATGAGTCTGGATTAGCCAGTTGTGTGTTTTTCATATCTTTGGCTCTCCACTGATTTCCCCGTGATCACAGAAGGGGGAGAAGGAGGAAGTGTGGGCAGACTCCTCCAACTCCTTTCCTCTCGAGCCCCTCGAGTCTTTTAACCCATCGCAGGCAGCAAAGCCCCAGCTGATTGGAGCAGGACTGCATACCTCACTCGTAGTACCTTATAGAGGTCACTGTGAGCCAAGGTAGCCATGACCTACTGTTCCCACCTTATAGCCAATTGTGCTGTGTGACATGGGGAGTTCCAGTCTGTCAGCTAGAAACCTAACCCAGGCTCAAACCCACAATCACAGAGCTTGACCTGCACTCATCTTCACTGGTTGAGCCAGTTAGGTTTTTATATGATTCTTTAAATTCTTTAATTGATCGAGTGAATATACAGCCTCTAAGGCAATGCAATAGCAATGCTCCCTACAGTCAATCTTCCCATCTGTGGAGGCTTTTGCTAGAACATCAGTATCTCAAAGTTTACATTATTGCTGTAGCATTCTGCACAGCTGGTAACTGCCTTCAGTAGTTTTATTCCTGCAGTTGTTTATACAGTAGTTTCATCTTGAAAAGATCTGCTTTAGTTTTGTACTCTTGCGTGTAGCCAGGCAACATTTCACCTTGCAGTTGTTTTACAGTACCTCTCACCTGCTGGAGCTGCACAAAGAAAGTGAACTGCCATTTACTGGAGAGGAATGGTACAGTATATTCAGTCTTGGGTTGTGTCAGGGAATTTGAAGTTTAGCCATTGTAGGGAAGTGTTGATACCTGGTATCCATTTCTGTGCAGCATGAACATTAGTCTAAAACGTGTCAGTTGTGTGGTGTGTTGATTGAGCAGTGTGTGAAAAGGTTTCATTCTGAACATTATGGATGGGTATTTTTATGTCTGCCACTTGTGAAATATTTGATTGTGTAAGCCACTCCCTGCATGTCTGTTGGTCTGGACCAATTAATTTGTCTTTTTGTTGTGTGTGCAAATTTATAGAATGTGAACTAATTCCGCCACTTTTAGCAAGCTGTTGCAAAGCTCTACATCTGTGATTTTTATGCTTTAGAGTTGGAATCTAAAGAGCTCATCAGAACGGGTCGGATCTTCTGCTTGTGTATACTGTAGTTCTTTAATTCGTGTAGTTTTTATTTTTTTACATTTACGGTAGTTTCATGTGAATTAACGTTTTTCATAGAACAATGACATTTTATTCTCCAATGTTTTATTTCTGTTTTTTACATTTTTTAAGCTTCGGGTTTTTTAGCCTGTACATGTATTTTTTTTTTACTATAAACACATTTCTTTTCAGTCATTATTCTTCATCAATAAGTAGTTACTCCAAGATTGCCACAAGCTATTGTAATGACACAGTAAGAATTTCTTAATGCCAGTACAGTATCTCTGTGTGGATGGAGATGGATATATATATTTTGGAGATCTAAATATGTTAATTACCCGCACAGTCTGTCACACCTTTGGTATAAAATAACCTTCCAGTCTTTACACATTTTCATTTTACAGCCTTTACATCAAATTATGAAATGAAGAACATTTACAGTACCATTTCATGTTACAGAGAGTAACTATGGTGGACAATTCACAACTCCAAGAAATATGAATAATTTACGATTGACATTTGGACATAGTCAGGCTGATCAATACCATGCTTATTTTATTTTTAAACTCTTAGAATATATCCAGATATAGAAATAAAAAATACAAATTCCCATTATCTCAGAAACCAATAATTTGCTCTCCTTCTTTCAAAGCATTGATTTGTTATCCCGGTCTTCTTGTCCAATGGAATGTTTTTCCAGCTGAATGTAATGCAGTTCCATCCACATTTACAATTTTCAACATACTGTATGCCTTGGAGAAATAAAACTTTTTTAAAAAATAAAATGTGATTTATTGCATATTGGCATGTGTGGGCAGGTTCATTTTTCTCAATACTGTTTTTCTACCCACACACACAAGTGAAAATCACAATATCTAAATTGAAAAGGAACAATTAAGGGTTTATTCAATGCTGTGGAATAAACCACAGTGTTTCGGCTGTAGAGACACCAGAAGAAAACATTGTGTTTCTTTTCTTCTCTTTTCAGCATGGAATAAACCCTTACTGTTCCTTTGCAGCCTAAGCATGCTGATGCAGCTACCTACTTGAACTATATCTAAATTGGATCTGTTGAAATACTCTTCTAAATGTGGTCATACTGTATGTCTGGAGAGAGCAGAGATAGACAAGGCCACAGTCATGTCTGGAACATTTCAATTCAAGCTTTATTGTCCAATTTGGGTAAATTTGTTTTACAGCACACTCTCAACACAACAACACAATGACAGACAAACTGTGCCAACAAATAGTACAGTGAGGTAGAGGGCATCACTAAGACAATGAAAGAAAAAAGTTTATTTCTCTCTAATTATGAATGCATAGTGAAAGAAGCTTAATAATGTGAAGAGTCTGCCTTTTTGACTAAATCCTTCACATCCCTATATTCAAATTAATTCTCATAATCGGGACCACAGCAGTTAACAGGCAGGAAAAATACAAGAAGTTAAAATGGTTTAAGTGGAGAGCAAGGGGCCAAAGATACTGCTATTCGGTTCAGATGTTTTTATTTTTTATCCAGATGCGGAGGTAGTTGTCTGTGTGAAACCACTACACCTCTGTGGAAAACAGTGTTGGTTTGTGTGAAACATTTCCCACTCTGTGTAATTCTAAAAGGTGTGAATATGTCGCCTCCTGATGACATTTCCTCTGTTTGTTACCATTCCCAGAAGGATGCAGGTCTCAGCCTAGATAGGCTTTGAGTGCAGGAGGATGCTTCACACCATTAAAGGGTCCAAACAACGTTCCAGTTTTTACTTCAGAGCTGTGCCGTAAGAGTACCTTCTTCTTAAGCTTGCAGAGGTTAAATCGAGGTTATTCCATTGAAGCACATACATTTTTAAACATGCACATTATTTATAGCTGAACTGTATGGTATACTGAGCACCAAAATAAATATCCCCCTATGCATATATGTATTTTGCCGACATGTATGGATTGTGGATTATTGATTAATTGAGAATACCAGACAGACCATGATGCACTCGTGTCCGCTGGTGAGGTGATTGAACTTGTTGAGTGTTGAAGCCTGGTGAAAATCAAGGAGGAGAAACAGAAAACAACTGACTTTCTGTGGCGGACTGGCCAGCTGTATAGCCAAGTCCTGTCTAGGGATGAACCAGGGAATTCCGATGTTTTATAAAACAGTCCAATCAATGGGCAATGCCAGTGTTCCGTTAAAGGAAGACATTGTATGTCCTCATATTATTTGAGAACGTGACAGTTGTGGTGTAGTCCTCCTGGCAGCTTCCCAAAAGGAGAGTGCAAACTCCTGGGAAATAACCTTCAGCAACTTACAAAATTAAACTGTTGATTTACAAAATGGGTCAGAATTGTGAGTTTATTCAAGCCTTGGATGCCAATACATTCAAACTACTGTATATTTACCTTTAACAAAACAGCACTGTTCCCAACGGATCCCATTGATCCTGAGAATTGTTATAACTTACAAAAACGTAAGTATGGATTGATGAAGTATGTAAAAAATATGTTGAAATCTTTTTAATACTGTTAATGCATCTGTTAAATAGTTTGATGATAAAGATTAGGGTTTAAATATGAACAAAATACCTCCTCTATACTGTATGTGATTCAATAAACATGGTAGCAAAGGTATGGAAAGGGTTTAAATTCTCCCAATAAGAGCTGTTGGGAAGAGAAGAGAAATGCAACACAGGACCTTTATTTGGAAATTAAAACAATGCTAAAATCTCAAGGAAAGGCTAGGAATTGAGCTTGATTACAAATTTGAGGTATGAATTAACCATTCAGACAGTTCTGTAAAAAAATATGACACTGGAAAGCTCTGATTCAGAAGACAAGAATTATGAAACATTATTGATCAAGTATGATTATGTGTATCATTAAATATACTGTACTGTATAAATGGCTGTTTTAAAAACTTTATTTACATATATATAGTTTTTATAAATGTCTATTTGTAAATAAAGAGAAAATAGCACACATGTAAAGTACACTTTATACACAGAGCCCTGATTTTTGCACTACTTTAGAAACCTTTGCAAAAATGCAGCTGTATGGTTTAAATGCACACTGTACTATAAAAGATTAAAAGCCTGACTAAAAAATAGGACAGTACCCAGAAAACACTAGCGAGACATCATTGCTCAATATTAAGGTCTGTTTCCCTCATTTGAGGACGTTTGTCTGCTTCAAGATGTAGCAAATTTCAATGGTTGATACTTAAAAATGCATAAGGCACTCAGTTCTGAAACTGAACAAAACACTTGATAAGAGCTAGAAAAGTACCAAGAGACCTGATCCAGGTAGATCTTATCAGCCTCTCAGGTACATATGGATGGACAGGTCCGTTTTCTTCTCAGGAAGAAAAGGCTGGCTCAAGCAGCTCAGTAAGAGACTCAGCCTGTGGTCTATAACCTGTAACTTTTACTGTAACCTGTAAAATTCTATTCTTAATTGCAGAGTGGCGTTTAGCTTTACTAGGAAGGTGGTATATTCTGAGGCAGCTGCTGATGGGGTACAGTAATGTCATGTTAGACGGCGAAGACATTACCGTGGCTACGTTTGGGCGTTCAGACGTAGGGTCTAAGCATAAATCACAACGCTACTCAGGAGTCACTGTCTTTAAAATCAAAAGCAAAAATAAATATTGAAGAATTCCCTTATACAGAAATATGTTGGATTGTTACAGATCAGAGTGTGGGAGCTTCTTAAAAGTTCTGCTTGCTCACGTTGGGAGCCAAGTTCAGACGTCCTACACAGAGGATGACTGGAATCCAGTCAGTGCGGGAGCTTGGTATGACCTTTGAGATTTTTTCAGTACCCTGCAGGAGAGCCTCCTTTTCTGTAGTCTGATTCTGCATACAGCTTTTCTCCTTGGCGCACAATGGCCTGGACCACTGCCCCTCTGGACTTCTGCAGCTCCACCTCATGGTTCTTCTGCTCCAGTCCAGCCTGGATACTCTGGGCAAATGGAGGAATGAAAGCGATTTAATACCGTTTGGTACTGATTTTTTTATATTCTGTTTTACACTTCCCTGCTAGTCTTGAATGAAAAGCTTTCCTGGCAAGGGATAGAAGGTGTAAAAGAAACCTGAGAGTGTGTTCAGATAGCAGACATCACTGTGTGAAAGCAGGGAGCAAGATGGTATTTTGTAATACAAGTGCTAATGAGTAAGAGCTGACATGTAGGTCCTATTGTGAGAATTAAGGCACGTTTTATGTATGTGCAGACATATATTTAGCTTTCTGTTTTCTATCATGAACAACTCAACATTTGAGTAAACATTATGAAAGCATCCCAGTTACTGTATATAGTTATTCCTACTATTTTTACTAGATTATCAGATAGCTCAATTAAAACAGAATAGATTGAGATTTTCCAAGTTTTTTTTAATGTAAATGTCTTTGCATAAGGAAGAATTTGCTTAAAACATTTTCACCAACTTTCAACACTTAGGTGACTTAGTACTGTTACTTTCAGTGCCTCACATTAACAAATGCTTACAACAGTCTATAGGATCTGTTAAATTATTTGATCTAAGAGTCTTAAAAACAGAGGTCAGACAAAAATCACTTGAATGTGGTTTTAAAAAAGCATTCAGTTTATTCCATAGAAATAAACATGGATTGAAGTACTTTTTTTATTTGTATTATTTATTTATTTATCAAGTGTATAGTTTAATAAAAAATAAGAGAATACCGAAACAAAAGAACTTGAGCGTTTTAACTAGTGTATTTACTGTACAACCTCGACAATAAATGTCTAAATTGTTTTGAATATGGCCCTAGATTTCTAGCAAATAGAAAATGTATCAACAATTCAAATTATTTATAAGCTTTTCTAAGCGCCATTAATTGGTTTTATGTTCTTTATATTAATTTATACTATTTATGTGGTTGTGGAAGTTGTTCCAATAAATCTCATGGTTCTAACAGAGATGTTCTAAAATTTAAGGGGACTTTTTGCTGTAACATCATCATCTCAAGAGCACACGAGAGAATGTTGCCTGGCCAAGGTAATCCCATGGGCCAGTTGAAAGAGGGTGGGACTTGAGCAGACATGGTGAAACACTGAGATGATTCAGTGCAGCGTTATTCAGTTTCTGCGTGCAAAGGGCAGAGCACTAGCTGAAATCCCTGGAGCCTACAGTATATCACGGCCCAGAAACTGGTGCGCGTGGGGTGCATGTGGGCCTCGACGCTGTGGATGGTCAAGACCAGTAGGCCCAAAAGCCTCCTACACAGATGAGAGGGCTTTCTGCATTGAAAGAGTGATCAGAGCGGGCAAAAGCACAAACCTGGCTGGGAATCTCAACCTTTCCTTGGGTACAGAACCTGGGTATGATCCGTGAGCAGCTGAGGTACTGCAAAGCGTGCACACCTACTGGGTCACTACTGTAAATGCTGAACAGCTCAGACAAGCAAACTCACAACTCGGCCTCAGTGAGGCTCGCTCTCTCAGAAGAATCTCGGAATTGTACTTGTTACAGTGCAGAAGTGCACAGTGCACAGTGCACTTCCCAGCCATGCAGCATGAACCACGCAGCAACCTGAACTGCCTGACTTCCGTCTCTTCAGTCCCTTGGGAAAGCGCCTGTCCTGCAGACAGTGTGCCTCCTATGGCAAAATGCAGCATGCAGTAAATTCCTGGCTGCAGGATCATCATATAGAAATTGTGCTTTGCTACAGTAGGTTCAATGCATTGGTGCTACCGTGGGACGTATATCTTACTAGGCACATCCTGTATAATAACATCTTTATACTGTATATGTGAGTAGAGCACTACTGCTGTACTTCTTAAAAGCTGGTGAAATTGCTCCAGTAAAATGCCTGGTTTATAAATAGGTACAAAAGCAAGTCACTTTGGATAAAAGCATCAGTCAAATGAATAATGGAAGAAAAAAAGCTTTTTTTTCTCTTTGAGGATCACCTTTTCAAAGTCCTTCTCCACTTCCGTTACATTAGGCCATAGCTGGTTGTGTGCCCTGGGCTCAGTGACTGCCTTCTTCACATCGTAGTTAAAAAACAAGGAGTTGAGGATCACCTGCACAAGAAATTAATTTCTCTCATTACTGCACGCCAAGAGTGAAATACACACAAAAACAGATTTCTGTTTTTATTCCCTAAAATACAAACCAGTAGCTGTGCCGCTTACTTTACAGAAAGTTTCAATGATTAGGTTGCTTGTATCTGTGAAGGAAGCCTCATCATTCTTCATTTAATTGAGTGAAAAGTCTACAACTCCTATTGACGTTTTTTCTTTAGTTCTGTGCAAGATGTACTGTAGACTCCACATTGCTTTATACAGTACACAACGCGCACAAAAATCTGGATTATGTGATTTCCTGGTTTCTAATTTTCATATACTGGATATTGTATTCTTTTTCAGCTAAAAGTATCAATTAAAAAGGAGGAGGTATAGGATAAAACTCACATCCAGGGTATATTTTTCAAAATTACTATCTACTGTACTTGCAGGCTTATCTACATTTAAACACAGGATTCTGAGTGAGTTGAAACTGTTGTATATTCAATGCTTTTAGCCACTAAAGCTTCCTTTTTAACAAATGTACTGTAGCTGGCAACTTGAGTATAAAAGGTATAAAAATTGCCATCAATCCCCTTCCTAAATCAGTTAATGGCATGGCTGGGAAGTGGTTGGTGAAAAATGGGGTCATGTCAGAAATATCTGTGATTAGGAAGAACCTCAGAACAAACTGACACTCCAAGTCTTTTTTCCATGTTGCAGTATTCAGGGGCGGCGGCCTGCCTGTTTTTGTCTCACAACGCTCCAGGAGTAAACAAACTCACCAGTGCGGTTGCGGTGGTGATTTTTGTGCCCCCAGACGCACCCACCACCATTTTGACTTTGTTGTTTTGGTCAAACAGAATAGCGGGACACATGGACGACAAAGGCCGTTTACCTGTGGAAATATTTTTTTATGAGACCCGAGCTTTTTGGGGGGCAAATTTCCATATTAATTACAAAAGGAAAGTCAACCGTTTAATCTGAAAGCCTGTTGCCTTCATTTAATTTGTTGGGAGTTCAATTTCTAAACTTTTAGAAATTTTGTCTTTTGAAAAAACACGGCTAAAAAAACACCTCAGCTGAAATAGAAAACCACATCTATTTAATTTATTATTACAATAGGTATCACATGGTGTTAATACAATACAATTATATTAATAGTAAGGTGCTCACTTACCTGGTCGAATGAAGTTATTTGGTGAAGGAGGAACCCCAAAGCCATTAATTATAAATGGAGAGCTGAAGTCATCCATCTCATTATTGAAGATTATGCCAGTGGACAGAGAACGAACCTTCGACCCAAAGCTATTGGAACCAAATGTAAGAAAAGCAAATTAGAAGGCTGTGTGCTACTTGTCTCTCTGTCATTGTCCAATGCCACACGAGTTGTAGAGAAAAGGAGACCTGGATCCTCACTATTGGTTAATGGTGCTGGTTGCAGACACTGCACTTCCATCTTCGGCAATAACAGAGAGATGTGCCGTGCCGTGGTCGTCGGGATTGTAATATTCAGGTTCGTAATAGGGGACAGGGTGAGTGGTGTTGTCTGTTATCTTTTTCCTGATTGCTGTGGCAGTGTAATCAGAGGTCATGTTCTGGATGAGCTGCAGATAAAGAAAAGAGAGACTGGTTACAGTTAAAAGCAATCTTCAGACGTTTACACAAAATGTCTCTCTCTGACAAGCAGGGAGAAGACAATCAAGTGACAATATTATCCTTATCTGCTCTACTGAACTATCTGATTCTGCATGGGACTGCGGACATCTTGAGGCCATCAATGTCTAAGGGGGTCTATAAGCCTAATGGATGTTTACTAGGTACCACAGTACCTGTCAAGTTTCCTCATTTGCCATCATGCTCAAACAACTTTGTTTTTCCAATTGCTTTAGCACTGGGCCACAATCTCAAATGATTCCTGGCCCTTTAGGAATCTCCAGAGAAGCTAACAACACACAGTGCTCTCCAAAGTTATCCATATCCCCGATAAAAGGGGAATAATAAACATCAGATTTACAGATAGCGGGATGACAAAAGATTTACAGATTAGGTCATGTTTCTTGCTTAAAACTAAACGTATAATCATAATCTTAATAGTTGTATTTGTTATAATTAAGTTAAGAAAACATGAGGGTCACATTTAATTCGCTCCCCCTGTAGTATTTTGTAAATCTTCCTCTGGCAGGGATCGCACTGAGCAGACGCCTCCTATGGTGCACTGTGAGGTTCCTCTACTTCAGAGGGAAATGTTGTTAACCATCCTCCACGTAAAATTGCTTCAACACCTCAGTCTGTTTAGTTTTCGTGGGGTGAACAGCTATCTTGAGTTAAATCACAAATACGCAATTTGATTGAGGTCTGGAGATTGAGACGGCCAGGGGAGAACATCTCTTGTGTGCGCTCTTAACCAGTTCTGTGTTGATTTTGTTGACGTGCTTGAATGACAATTTTCATCCAGCGTCTTGGAACGAAGAGCTACTGTAGGTGTGATGCTAAAATGTCTTGGAATATTGGAGTTAGTCATCCCCCATGTTAACAATGGCTTCTGGGCCACAAATGCAAAACAACCGCAAATCACAGACTCCCCACCATATTGTACAGTGGGCAAGAGTGTTTTCTCGTTTCTTACAGTATAAAATTAGAATTAAGTGAAACATCCAATCCATAACTCATTCTGTTATATGATGTTTCTGTGTCTATTGCATCGGGGGATATGAATAAATTTGGTTGGCACTATATTTTGCCTTAAAATGCTTTTTTTTTCTCTCATTGTCCATTTGGTACTGTATATCAGTTGCACACTGTTGCAGATCAGATTAATCTTAATGGCAGTCCTTTCTACTAGCTATACAGCACCCATACTTTCATTTCTTAGTTAAAGGCTATGCCTTTAATGGCTTATAATTCTTATCTTTAAATTATCTCTAAACAGGCACTATCAGGATGTTGCAGTAAAGTGGATGTTTTTTGGTTAAAGCAGTGCGTAATGTGTTATATGTGTAATGTTCTCGAGCAATCCCTCAAAAGACAGTACAGAGAAGCATGTCAAAGGTGATAAAACCAATGTTTTTTGTAGAACAAGTTAGGACAAGATGTACAACATCACCTTCACCGATCTCTCCCTGCCTCTCAGATTACATAATGCTGAGATGGTGTCATAAGAAGCAAAAATATGCAGTCACACTAACAATATTTGTAGAGGTTTTTAAGGCTTTTAAAAAAATACAGAAGATAAGCGATGGTAGCCCAACCGTGGCAAAAACAACAGTGATGCTGAGTTTGCAGGTTATCATAAAAACAACACGCACACCATTACAAGCAAAAGGTGAGCCCATCTGCCCTGTTTTGTTGTTAGTAACTAACTGATCCAATGAAGTCATCCAACCACTTTTTGAAGCAACCCAGGATATTGGCTTCAACAACAAGTCTGAGTAGCTTATTTTTAGTTTTAAATGCACTTTAATACATGTAGTTTCCACTTATGTACTTTGCTTTAATTGTTACTGTCAGTTCTGAAGAAGTCCACTCTATGGACTTCGTCAATATCTTTGAAAACAGTAAATACTTACAGTAGTCCCCTCATTCAAAAGTCATTCAGTCCTTTCAGCCTGTCAGTGTGGAGATTCCCTAAAGTCTAGTTACACTTCCCTGGACTGATCCTAGAGCAGCAATATCTTCTCTATAACACGGCAACCACAATTGTACGCAATATTCTAAACAAGCCATTGACTAGTGCCTTATGCCATTGTAATATAATATCTCTTGATTTCAATTTAACTTTAACTTTTGGGAAGAGGGCTGTGTTCTTACGTCGGAAATATTGAGGTAGCGGGGATCTCCCAGTCGGCTCCTCTTGGCGTAGGCAAACCGGAAGGCTTCTAAAATGCGATGATATGTGAGAGTTTTCGTCTCTGAGGTAGAAACACTTGCACTGGTGAAGTTGTACCCTGCAAACACACAGTTACATGTTTAATTAATGTACTGTATATATATATATTTCTATTGGGAACTTTAAGACAGCTGAATTGTTTTTTAAACGTTGGACAAAATGTTAGATGCTACTCAGAGTAGTGTTGTAGAGAACAGCCACCTCTGTAGTACTAGGTTCTATTTGCCCTCTTGTAGTTACAACTACTTTGTTCTTCCCAAACAAATATCTTCAAGTTCTGTTAAAAGAAATAGAGGATATTTAGTCTCTATTTAACCTAACAGCACCTTTGGCTATTTAGAACTATCTCAAATCATTTCATTGCATTTCTTTAATACTTTTCAAACCAAAAGACCCTAAAGAGCTTTACTTGTAGGAGCAGACCCACTTCAATCACCTGGGTGATGTGTGGCAGCTGGTATTAGCCAGGAGATGAGGTTAAAAAAGGTGAGCCAGAGTGAAAATTTGCCAGCACACCAGGGTTAATACAGCTCCTTCTTATGAGAAGCGGAACAGGATATTTAATCACAAAGCAGGACCTCAGTTTTTAATGTCTCAGTTGAAGAATACAATCATATACAATCCTGGTCACAATACAATCGGTCTTTGGTTTAGAAATTATAGTCCAGAGTGAAAAGCACCACTGCCTGATCCACTAACACTACTAACAGAGGCAACACGGTCGTCTCCAGCTCATCCATTCCAGTACAGTGCTGATCAGGTCCAGGCTTGCTCACATTCAGAGATCTGGTAAGACTGGATTTAGCCTAGATTAAATCTTAAACTAAATAAAATGGGTTTCCTTCACAAAATACATCACTCATACACCAGAGTTTCCAGCTAATTCTCATTTTGTGGCGCTGATATTAAATACTGCACAGTTTCACTGCAGCAAGACACTGTCATTTGTTTTGCTCTGTGTTTTAATATTTGCTCAGTGTTTTAATATTAGAAGTGTGCATTAAAAAAAACATGTGCCCAGCTCTTTCCTATTAGTACATCTGAATATGCAGCACTCAGAAATGGATTAGAAAAGATGTTCCAGTGATTAATTTCTTAGACTTTGGTTCTGCCTGAACCTCATGATGTCAGTCCCTGGATGTGAAGCCATGACAGGAGGTGGGGGGACTTGCCAATTAGTGCAAAAATCAAACCGTTCGAGCTGCAAAAGCTTCATTAGTGATGTCTTTTACAGCCGGTCTCTTCGTAAACAGCAAATTAGGAGGATTAAGCTTTTGTGTCTGAGATGTGAGGAAGGGCTGAGTGGGAGGCAGCCAAGGGAGGTCAATTAATCATTTCCAAAGGGATTCGTTTAATCCTCAGCGCCAGACATCTTGCTTCAGGGAAGACGAATGAAAGAGTTAAGCTTTAGACGCCCCACAGCTGGCATTCCCTGCTAAATAACAGGATGCTGTGACATATGTACAGTATTGCCAGAGAAAATCAAGAACGCTTGGGAAAATACCTCATTTTCAGATCATGACTGCTCGTCCAACTAAAAGCACACGCAAACATTGGATTTCTGATAATGAACTCAGTTGGTGTTACAAAGTGGAGATCAACAATTTAGGCTAAGCTAGGCCATGAATCCCATCTTTCGTGGAAACTAGTATGAAGCATGATTTTCCCAACAAACTATCCAAGTCAATGACACCAGATCCTACTGCAGATGGATTTTTGATCATGCTGACAGTGCTGACTGGAAGATCTGGAAACAATTTACAACAATTAGGTTTGGACTGGATTCCGACCGCCTGCAATTGAAGTAGACCAGGACTGAATTAAAAGAATGGATTCCTTTTTGTTCTTGCACCTTAATGAGTGAAATACATTAAGGACAGTGACAGTCACAGTTAGGTCACAGTTTCACTGCAGCACGACACTGTCGTTTTGTTGTGTCATGATGCAAAAGACCTGTTTGGTGGCCACTGAATGAATTGATCAGTACAACAGACCAACAGACCAAAAAAATTATAGTAAAGGTGCCAGGGCAGACACTTTTTTCAGAGTCGTCTCAGCTCATTTTTTTTTCAAAATGCAAAGTATAAATTGAGGTTTATATGGGCTTCCCATTGGAAATAACGGTTTTTAATTGTTGTGATCAAACAGCAGCCCAGGGAAGGAGAAGAAAGCTCTTGTATCTGAGAAAGAAGAGTGAAATGAAAGACTGTAAAGGCTCTAAGTGACAAAGGAGTATGTTTTAAAGAAGGCTGGTTAGATACAGACAGCTCTATCTTGTCACATGGAGGTTCGTATGTACCTTCAAGTATGTTTAGTATGAGCCCTAGAACCGGGCCACTGGAGGGAGCATTCGGGACATACATGGTGTATTCTCCCACTTTGATCTTCAGCGGTTCGAGGTTCAGCTCAGGCTTGTAATTCCGGAGATCCTCCAGAGTAATGATTCCCCCTGTAACACAGCCAGGAAAACCAAGGAGCTGAATAGGATTTATGTCTGGCAGTGAGATTCCAGCTGCATGTCAGTCTCCCTAAGACAGCCCCGGTCCAAGCAGCCAGGTCTGCAATTTGCACTCGTAATAGTAGCTTATAAAATGGCCAGTTAAACAGTTGTACATTTTGATTTTGTGTGCTCTGTGCTCGTTTGTGTGTGTTTTTGCTTGTTTTGATTGGCTGTTCTGAATTGTTCCCTCCCGTGGTGGAGGGACTCATCCCACAGGGCTCTCAAGAGACAGAACAAAATACAAAAAAGACTTCTTATTTGTGACCTTTCTCATGTCTTGACGAACTAAAAGGGGACAGATGTTTTAACTAAGCTGTATCTTTTTTTTCGGGCCCAAAGCCATGTGTTCCAAATGATTTTATCACAACATGTTGATTTTAAGTCTTTTTCATTTCTGGTTCATAAACGTGCCTAGATTTGTTCATGCACACATAAAAATGTGAATGACCACCCCATTTTTATTACTGAAGGTATTAAACATTCTCTAGTTGTGAGAGATGTCTTTGTATGTGTTAGAGGAAAAAAATTAAAACTAGTTTTTAAAACTGAGCTAAAGGAACCATAAAATCCAGTTTATTTCCCATCGTCTGCCATCAGACCAGTTTCTTACTGTGTGGGATCCTCACTACCATTTCAGTTTTCTTCCAGAAAATGAGGAGATATTTACTGTACCCGCTGATTGGATGTCCTTTACAATGTCCTGTGCCAGGGATCCATTGTAAAAAACATCAGGTCCTTCATCAGCTATTTTCTGGTAGGTGTCAGCTAATCTGGGAAATTTAATGGTGTCATTTTCCTTCAGGATGCTTTTCTCCGAGTTGCAAAATACCTCGCTGCAGGAAAAAAAGGAAAATAATAAAAGTCATCTTCGCAACATGCAAGACTTCCTTCTATTCTGGGAACTGCAAAGCCACTCTCCTCTCCATTTAAATAAGCATTGTACATAAAGCCATAATGCCATGTGAAAGGGAGATGCATATCGAAATCACAGCAATTCTGAAGGCTTCAAGGTTACGAGAAATTTTCAAAAGGGCAGTAAGAGGTCATCAGATTTCCCAAGGTACCTGTTACATAAGGAGGAATAAAGACGCAATTAATGTGCTTCCAATTCTGGCATCAAATTCAAAAACACCAGAAGATGTGGTGAAACCTGGACATGCTGAGATAATTGCGTAGTCTGTCCAGTAGACTTGTTAGGTTGAGATTAAAGAGAGTTACAAGAAGTATTAAAATTTTAACTTGAACAGAGGGTGGCACAGGGTTGAAGCAGTGAGCTTTGCTGCCTCGCAGTGCTGGGGCCCTGGGTTCAATTCCTGGGGTGCTACCTCTGTGGAGTTTGTATGTTCTCCCTGTGTTAGTGTGGGTTTCCTCCAGGTGCTCCTGTTTCCTCCCACAGTCCAAAGACGCACTGGTAGGTTCATTGGCTTCTGGGACAATTGGCCCTGGTGTGAATGTGTGTGTGTTTCAGTCTGTGTCTGTGGGTGCCCTGTGATGGACTGTCTTCTTGTCCAGGGTGTATCCTGTCTTGCACCCATTCCTTGCCAGGATAGGCTCTGGCTCCCCTGTATTGGATAAAATGATTAGAAAATGGATGGATCGAACATGAATAGAATGATTTTTTTCCCTCTGGTGGAAATGAGAGGAAGCATCAAGATCAAACACTGGCCTGGCTGAAAGCGCAGGTGAATTCTGTTCCATTTCGGAGAGTCCTGTTGCTCTCCTTCTCCGTACGGCGCTGGTGACCAGAGAAAGCCCATGAGCGGAGCACGAGAGGACGCGGCGTTCACCCACCACAGCGCCGGGTCTCCTTCGATCGTCTGCCTGTTCTCGTTGATGGCGGCAGCCAGAGCCCTGCCCACCGGGAACCCACTGCGTGCCAGGGCAATGCTGGGCTCGAACAGCTCTTTCCATTTCAACCTGCCATGGCGCATGTGTGCCAGTTCGTACCCCCGGATTTCACTCGGAATAGCTATGGACAGCCCACCTGCCGGAGCAAATGGGTAAAGAAAATGGTGATTATTATTAATAATAATAATAATAAAAATAATGGAGATCCACACCACCACCACCATCTGGATGATGTGATGGCAGGCAAAGTGCTCCAGTACACTCTCCACAAACCAGCTTTCAGTGGGGAGGAGAGCAGAGTGATGAAGCCTGTTCAGAGAAGTTATTATTAGCAGGCCATGATTGGTAAAGGCCAGGGGGGAATTTGGCCTGGGCGCTGGGGTAACACCCCTACTCTTTTCGAGAAATGCCCTGGGATTTGTAATGACATTGGAGAATCAGGACCTCAGTTTTACATCTTATCCGAAGTGCGGCACTGCTTTTATAGTATAGCGTCCCCATTTCTTTACACTTTTGGGAGGTTATTTCCAAGTAAACTACAGGCAGGCATTACAGTAGGTGCATCGTGTCTCTTCAGGACCATTTAACAGCTTTAGACTTGCCTGTATACATTGAGAGGGTGAGTGGTCTGAGACGCAGATGAGCTTGGCTGAGGGAGCTCAATTCAAAATACTTTAGCCATTCCTAGGGGGGCAATTTAATTTAATGACAGTCTGCCCATGGGGTTCATCAGTTAGGGACAGGGGATCCCAGCGGTGTGAACCGGTGAAATGTGGGTAAGAAGAGTTCTTAATCTTCAGTTCCGAGCTCCAGTGAATGTACAAGCACTTGCCAGGTACCCAGATGTTAGTGTCTAGTGAAAAAGAGGATACATTACCTTTCTGGGACAGTTGTGTGTTATTGCCAAACATGTTTTCTGTTGCATTCCTTGGTGCGGTCTCCCTGGCATCGATAACCTCTACTTGTCCTGAAAAAGTAAACGATTCTCATCGAGGATCTGCACTGTACGGAATTAATACAGACTTTTCCTGATCCCTCTCTCTTGAACTGCAGACTCTACCTGTGGAGGCATCATATATAGTGAGGAAGAGCCCTCCTCCTATGCCCATGCTGTGAGCGTTCATGAGTCCCACGCACAGTAAAGCTGCAATCGAGGCGTCCACTGCGGAGCCTTTCCTCTTCAGGATGTCTCTGAAACAGACATGGGAAAATTAATATATGACAGGGGGACCTTATTTGGTGGGGAGTAGCTGATTGACCCGAGAATGTTGTTCTTTTGCAAGTATCAAGTGTAGCAGTTTCAGCAGCATGAGTGGGTAGTGCGGTCAGATTCCCACAACCCTGTGTAAAGATGTAAAAGCAGGACATTTTCTGTTCTTAGTCTTAGTTTTCTTGTGTTCTCCGGATTGTGTTTCACTTTTTATTTTGAAGAAATCAACAGGGTTGTGCTTTAACAGATTCTGAAAGATTGAATCAAGTCCCATCGTGTTGTTTTGCGTTCAATCCTTACAATATTCAGTTCTTTTGAACTGTCTGACTGTCGCATTGCTCTAAATCTGGGAATACTAGTCTAGTCTACTGAGGACCAGAGCAGCCAAAGTGGCACACTGGATTCTCAACGATACGTTACACAAAAGATCATAAATGTGTTAACCTAGAATCACTTCACTATAACCAATTTACAGGAGTTATCCATAACTACATCCTTATATTTTGTAACTGCTTTATCCAATACCAGCGTCCCGGGGCAGCCAGAGCCTATCCCAGCAAGCAATGGGCTCAAAGGAGGATACACCCTGGATGGGCAAGTGGATCACAGGGCAGATGCAGACACAAACACTCAGCTCAAGGCCACTTGTCCCAAAAGCCAATCTACCTTCCAGTACGTGTACGGACTATGGGACCAAACATGAGCACCCAGAGAGAATTCACAAGAATATGGGGAGAACATTCAAATTCCGCACAGATAGCACACTGGGAATTAATCCCAGGGCCTCAGTGCTGCAAGGTAACATTGCTAAACACTGTGTTACTGCTCTGCCCTCCATAATTACACTGAAGAACAATCTAGATTATCTTTAAGATGCCATCTGAACAATTGAGTCCACTTCTTACAGTAGTCTATGCTTACTGCCCAAATTATTTGCTTTGCATATCCCATTCTCAAGATGTTATTATTAGATTTTAGCAGTGCATACCAAAGAAGTTTCAATTACTCTTTTGACAAAGGCTAGAGTGAATAAGAAATGAATGTGCAGTCTTTTTCCAACGTTGGCAAGGCAGACCTTAATAGGGGTTTTGGGAAACCCTCAGGATTCTTTAGAAAATCTGGATCATTTTTTTTCCTGTACAGGAAATTACATTCAGAGAGTGAGTCACAGAAATAATTAAAATTCATCTGACTGTCCTGTGGATTTTTAAATATGTTTTTAGCCGGTGGCACAGTTACAGATACATTTTTAATCTAGAAAAAAAGAATATTCACCTGTGAGACTAAAAGCTCTGCCCGTTATATTAAACATGTTATTAGACATATTAAAATCAAACTAAATCATCTTTAATGAAGAATGCTTCCATTGTTCTTTTCTTATTTTATACTGGCCTTCCCCAACACTGGTCCTAGAAAGTAGCATGGTAACCAGGTAACTCAATTAATTATGCACTTAACAGTTCTTTTTTGTTCCCAGGCATCTCGTGATTTTACAGTGTCTCTCTATACCTGCTTGGTTGTGGCCCTTCCAGCCATCGATTAGACCAGAACAACTTTTACAGAGAAGGACAATTAATGGATGTGATCATTGTAAAAGGGTCCCGATAACAGGTAATGCAGCCGGTTCTACAGTGCCCTGGGGCATCAGTGGCACACAGAACACAAGAAACTCACCGCCCGATCTCGGAGCATTTGCCTGCATCTGCAGCCACAGCAGCACGGGTGTAGTAGCCTTCTTTTGGTGGGGCTCTTGAGTCCAGCCCATAGAAGATGCCCAGGAAGATACAGAGCACAGCCAGCAACAGCACCACCACACCGACAACAACAGACTTTCTTTTCATTTTTCTGCAGACGTAAGGTGACAGACATGTTTGTGTGAGGTAGAACTGTGAGGAAAGAAGGAACATTATCAACCCCACCACCACCCACCCTCCCCTGGAACAACAGACATACTGAACGACATGCACTAACACTAAGAACACTAATAGAGCGCAGTCCTTGTTTCACTATGAAACTAGAAAAAGCTGTGGAGTTTCAACAATAACTGTTGTGATAGACTTGACATTTTATTTCTATAATCATCTATTGAATCCCTTTAAGCTGCTCCTTAAGAAAGCAGTATCCAGTCTCAGGTGAGTTGTGCAGACTTACCTGGGAAACAGATTCTTCAGTCAGAGTTTGTTCACTGATTAGTAAGTGTTGAATGACCTGGTTCTGCCACTTATACCTTCCATTTGAGGAAACATTGTGCCTTAATGGGTCACGTTGACCACAAAGCAATAATTTGCTTGTCCAGATTTTGAAAAGACAGATAGCTTTGGCTCCTGTGGATCTGCTGTATTTCTGGCTTCAGTTTTTCATTTTTCCTGTGTATCTTGTATCCAGGGAACAAGCTCGACTAAAGTTTTGTCACTCACGAATATGCCGAAAGTCTTCAATTCCCATCTAAACATCTTAAAGAAGATTCATTCTTAAAGAAGATTCAATGTGCAACCTTGAGCCTAAGCTGGACATCATCTCTGTATGTCGTGCGACATGACGATGCATTGCATGATCCCCAAAAAAATCCAGCCCCCATATAATTAAAAAATGAAGTCATTCTGACCTGCTTGTGAGTTTGGTACAGTAGCAAACGTTGCTAAGGACCAAGGGTAGGTGCAACACATCCACAGAGTTCAGGACGATGAAGGGTGCCAAGGTAATTACACGCTTTCCATTGATCTCTCTCCACTTAACTGTACAGTCAAGTAAAGTTTGTTCACCACGAAAAAGAGGCTGCCAGCTTCTGCCCAGACTTGTCTGAAGCTAGTGATGTCATAATTGCTGTCAGCACTGACACTGTCTGGCCCTCATTCCCAACCCAGTTTACCTGCAGCAAGTACCATTCTTAACAGGAGTGAAAAGGCGGCGTGTCTGTGCTTGTGATTTCATACAGTAACATTGAGAGCTTACGGGCAAATCATTGATTGTCACAAGTAAGCATGGGAAAGATATGCCAAATATTGCAAACTCTTAATTATGACAGCTAAAATCATTACCCAACCATTTCCTTTAAGCTAAATCTTTGTCTGTTATTCAGTTGGGTGCAAACATCTGCATCATTTGTCCCTTTGGCGCATTTTTGCAGCTGTCTTGACTATAACTTAATTATGGCACTCAAAAACTGTTTTTGCAAAACACAATTTCTCTGATTTGAAACTTTCCCAAAAACAAATTCAAGGGAATTCCTCTAGCCTTGTCATTCTGTATACCAAGGTCAATTCTTTAAGAAAAAAATGTATTTTGCACTTTTTAATATACAGTATAGCGTGTGAGCCCTAGTGCCAAAGGTGAAATGTTGTGTGTCTAATATGTACTTTATGTTTAAATCTAGAACACAAAGCATTGTTTAACAGTCATGCCTTCTTATTCTTAAAATCATTCATATAAAAGAATCAATAGTCTGCAATCACTATTCCTATTTATTAAAGATTTTTAAAGTAGGCAGCAGCACATCAAGAAATTATTTTTAACTAGCATTTTTCAGAATCAGTCTGGTTGGAGGTGTCATCATAGTCCAAGTATCATTCTATCACAATTCACTGTTGCCAATACTTCTTACACAAGAGAGTACCTCACTGTACTTCCTGAAAAACAGCTTCTCTCTTAGAGTAATGGTGAATTGGCTCATTAACAACGCCTGCACTGCCTTCGAGCAGGCAGTAAAATCAGCTACAATAAAAGCAAGTACTAAAGTACAGAGTCCTTTAAATGACAAAACTGTCAAATAGTCATATTTCTGTATGTCTTACTGATTCCGACCGTCCTTGTTAAAACTCAACCAACACTTTTCCAGCTGACAATAAATCCTGTGCTAGCTCAATAACTTTTACATTATGCAGAAATACAAGATAAAACAACTCTGACTTCAGATGATTTGAGTAGCTTCCGTTTTATAACTGACATCATAATAGAGTGTGGCTTTTACAGGCTTGACAAGTTAAGATAAAATACACTGACTTCAGACAGTAATTTAATTTCAATATATAAATATTCTGTTTCATACCTTATTATGGTAGACTCCTTTTGTTAAGCGACGGTTCTGTTACTGATCTGTGTCCCACCTCTTTCTCACAGTCCTTTAGACTGTACGGAGGGTTGGGCTTCAAAGTGCATCTGCCACAATTCCATTCAACTTTCACCTTATCGATATAAAAATAACCTTTGGCTATTACCTGGAACCTATAGTGTTTCAGAGGCAAAAAAGTGATAATGTCGCTTGGTTGCAAACACCAGAAGAAAATTCGAAATAAAAGTAATTCACTTTTTTTGTGTGAAAATCGAATAACCTAAAAATTGAAGGTTTACCCTCGCTCTCCTTTTCCCTCATTCTAAATTATTACTTTTCAGATTACTTCACAGCTTTTTAGTTTCAGAAAAAGTACCAATAACACTTTGGAATAATACACTAATGCAACTGCAACTATTTGCCATTTTCAATACCATTTTAAATGTGCTCTTTAGACCTCTCACTTACTGTACACAGATAATGCTGATAACATACTGTATATATTGTAAAGCTGGGATTATGTTTTATTGCACAGCCTAAGGAAATAGATCTTTGCCAATATCCAGCAAATTGAGAAAAAGAGAAGATTTGTTGGCTGTTTATATATATAGTACTTAGCAATATATTTGCAATTGATTGTGTCCAAATTTGTAATCAATGTATACCGTATGCAAATATGATTATATAAAATAAGATGTGGTATCGGTCCTTCATTTTTAAATGTAGACAAAAGTCATGGAAATGCAGTTTTCTTCATTGAGGGCAAAATCCTGTTACCTTAGATCATGGCCTCTTAGGATGTCTCTCTGTCCTTTCCTTGTAGACTAAAGGTCTTGCTCATTGGTTGAGCGTTTGGGTCAACATGTGCAACAATTAACTGAGAGCACTCTGCTCGTGGCCCTCTCTTCACTGGCTGAAGGTAATTAACCTTCTCAAATACACTGAACTCTGAATTCTTTGAAAGTTAAACAATAACTGGATTACTGTAGGTTAGTTGGGAATAACTACCTTGTCAATTCCATACTTAAAATCAGGAAGCGAAAGATTCCAGCAAACTCCTCGGATTCTCCCCTGCTATAAACCAGGGTTAAAATACTGCACTTATTTTAGCATGATGAAGTAGAAAGTGAAGGGACATAATATAATTGTGACCTTTCATGTAAACTACCTGAAATGTTTTCCCCCTTAGTTTAAGATTATTCTTTTTCTCTTTGAGGTCGATACCACAGGTAAGAAAAAAAGTCTTAGGACTAAAGGCATTTCACGTTTACAAGATTTGCAGAATCCGCTCCTGCACTTGAAAAACACACCACCTGTTTCTCCAGCTCCTTGTCACGCACTGGCCAAGGGTTAACTGGATTCCCTCTTTGTAACCAAAGAAAAATACATCTGCAACACAGGAATAAAAGGGGAAAAAAAAGCCAAGATTTTTTTTCCTTTACAGCTGCAAATCCCTGGCATTAGTTTCATTATTAACCATAGGAGGAGAGCCCACAAACCAGCAGCCCAATTTTATAAAGCAAATACATGTCGGACTGCAGCCTTTCCCCAATCACACCAAAGCAATGCAATGCCACCAAAATACAGTAATTAGTCCAGTCCTGTCAGTCAACACACAGCACACACTTCTCAGGTTAATGAAAAGTGCCTTTTGCTTGTTAATGAAAACTCATAAGACTGTTAAAGTGATATAAAAGACCAGCTTTCACAGAATGGTAAAGGGGACTTTAGTACTGCACTTTTGTTAAATTACAGGATGTTTTTAAGGAGTCATTTTCAGTTTTCTGTTCTTTTACAAAGGTACTCTATTTTGGGAGATTGAATTCTTTTTCCAGCCTTCTGTATAATGGCCTATTTTGGAAGTAGTAGGATTAGAGCTGTTCCAACCATACGTTGTAAAGAAAACATGATGTTTTTTTCTTTTGGTACATTTTGTACTAGCAAGTTCAAAGGTCTTAGGACATTTCCTGTACTCAACAACGGATATATTGTTTCTCACTATATATAATTCTACCCACCAAAAAAGAACAGGGCCCTTTAACTGCTCTTATAAATGTTTACCTAAATGTGTATAGTATTTTCACATTTGTCTATGCTTTTACAATGTTTCTTATATTATTGTTATACAGTATATACAGAAGTAACCACAGGTTACATATTGTACAGTAAATAGTGTACTGTGAGTCAGTCTTGTTTGGAAATCGCTTTAAAAGGATTTGCCTCAGCAATTAACACACATATATATATAATGATTTATCAGAAAATACACTGATAGTATCAGAAGGATGATAAAACTAACTAGAACGAAGTTGTTAGATTTTATAGTGCTTACATGCTGTATTTTCATGATTGCCATAATACTTTCTCTCCCTGAAGAATATTTTTATTTGTGTTTTATTGGAGTTACTAATGATGGAGGCATCAACAACAGTGACAGATCAGTTCATCAGTGTTTTGTCTCCACTGTGGGTGATGTGCTCACCCTTAGTGGAGTTCTCTGCGCTCAGGTAAACCAAAGCTTGATCTGTTTTCACACAGAGCCGGGGCTTAACTCTCTATGAGGGGCTGAAAAAGACAGAACATAACAGCAGTAGAGAGGTACTGTTGTAAATGCAGGGAGGCAGGGCCAATGAGCAAACTGGCCGGCTGACTCAATTTAAAGGCAAGGAAAACTGTCTATGGAAAGAAAAGGCAAAGTTCTTTTATACGTTATTCGGTGTAGTGCATCCATTATTTCATAGCGCTTCTACCTGAGTGCACTTACTTTCCCCATTAAACACCAGTTAGCTAGCGGAGGACCTGTATGGAAAACAGGCTGTGTGCCCCCATGGAATCTTCTGACAACATCTTGTAAGCTGCTCAGTGAGGCATAGAATATTAGAACATACCAAGCACAATACTGAGTACCCAGAGAGTTACGGTTCAATCTCACTGGTTTCTAAAAGAGTTCTTTCTCTCCCATTTACTGTGAAGCACAGAAAAAACAGAGGAAAGGGAAACAGTAAAGCATGGTGAAGCACAGAGAGACAAGGTAAACCAGGACACAAGCAGTGAGAAGCCGTGGTACAGTAAAGTAAGTGCTCTGTAAAACTAAAATGACTGTGCACATTTACTGTTGCAATGTAGAATTAAGTGTATTCTTTCTTGCTTTCTTTTTGTCCTCTTGTTTCATTTCTGGTGCAGGCTTGTGCTTTAAAGCATTTGCGATTGAGCTGGATTTACTGCTCATTGGGAACACATTGCTTCTGTAACATCCAAAAGTCTTCTCTCAGCTGTGTGTGTCGGGAGCTTGGCTTGATTCCGATGTGTTGGGACAGGAGCATGAGGATTGTTAACCCTCTCCATGTCCTCTTCTGATGAACACAGGACATAAACTCAAATGTAGATGCAACCTATGCCACAACCATGCTGGGGAAGAGATGCAGAACGTTCCCATATATACTGGCAGTGTCCAAGAACTCAGTCTTACTGGGAAGAAGTGTGGTCTCAGATTCAAGATCTATTATGTTGAGAAATTCCAGAGTCTTGTCCGATTCTGGATCTGGGTAATCTGCCTGACGAGGTTGTGGGAGGAGATAAATACTTGCCGAAAGTATTTTTGGCAGCAAGCAAGAAAACTACAACACGTAAAAAGTAATAAAGAGACCCCCCCCCAACCAAAGAAAACTGGACTGTTATTGTTTCAGACATGTATGAAACGGAAAAACTAACCTTTCCGTTAAGACTCCAGAAGGAGGTTTTTGAGAGATATTGGGAGAGGCGGATTATTTATATAACCTAATGATAATGATTTTATGTTTTTGGAAGTTTGTACTTTTTTTCTTCACCTGCCTTTCTCCCTCCATAGAAAAGCAAAAGAATGATAAATCACAGACTTTGTACTCATTTCTATATGTAATACTTGAGGTTCTGAGATGATCGGCAATCTTTTTTTTTCTTTTTGTCTTCTGGTTGCCTTTGTAGATTCATAAATAAATAAAAAACAGAAGTACCAAAAGAGACGATGCAAACTAAAGCCTATGTGAAGGGAGAGAGAGGGCGTGTGTGGGCGCTCGATCCTAAGTCAGAGTCGGAGTGGCACAGACAGATGCCTGGACTCCAGACCCGCACCCTCATGTGAAGCTAGTCTCCAGTGCCCTGGCCTGCTGAGTCAGCATGCTGACAGCGTGGATAATGAAATACAGGCAGCTTCCCAGGGAGCCCCAGTGATTCCTAGGCTCCTCATTTCTATTCAACCTGAGGCTACAGCTTTAAAATCAGGGCTCCCCTCCCTTGCAGCCTTTCATATCCTGCTTGTGTGCAACACAATCCATCACCATTCTTATATAACCGACGAGGCATGTGGCGTAACCTATAAACATGCTTATGATGCGCCTTTGTTAAAGTCTAATCCACCTAATTACAAGCCTTAAGCACAAGCTCCATCGTTTTGAAGTGTCACAGATATGAACGTTTTTCTTCATGCACACCCTGGCTTCTGTGCAACTCCCTGTGCACACACACACACACTACAAAGGGCTTTGAAATCTGGTTTTGCTTAGAAGTGCAGTTTTTTCCCTATGCAAAGTCAAGTCAAAAGCAGTAGCTTGGAGTTAAGAAGAGATTAGGTGGTTACCAATAAATAAGCCTTCTTGCCTTGAGTGAAAAGGAACAATATTTAGTATTCATGAAGACACTTGTTTCCTTGTTTTTGCACCATCTGTCAGCACTGCAGAGCTTTCCACTGTACCAGAATCTCTCTAATGTCACTGTAATGAAAATAAGCAGGCCCCACATGTCATAAATTGTATGACATGCAATTATATTAAAAGGGAAATGCTGGGTGTTCTTTGGTACCACCCTATTATTAAGTCCTACATTTTTTATCACAGATTGTAAAGATCAAGAGGTAATAAAACTGACTATATAGTATTTACTGGACAGCAATGCCTAATGCATCCTGTTCTATACAAAAAGTGTAGGATTTCCTGGTGTAGTGAGTCTAATTCTATGTATGTCTTCCTGTAGTATACCTTAGGATCTGAAAGTCTGCTTTTCCATATTAAGAGGAGCAAATAGAAAAGAGAGAAGTTTCTACTCATAAGACAGTCCTGTGATATAGTGCACAAATTGCATGATGTAATTTGCAAAGCAGGTAGGGACAAGCTTAATTAACTGATGTACATAAGTAATCCCAGAACCCTACACATAGGGCACGTCTGATGAAGATTGTGCCTCATGCTATTTATTTATCCAATATCAGAGAGGCGGGAGGACATGTGCAGGCTACCTCAGAGGTACAGCTGAAGGACTGAAAGCACACAACTGATCCCGACACCTCCCCACTGGAGAACCCCGAGAAAACTTACGTACAGTACATGACCACAGGGAGAGCATGCAAACTATAGACAGTCTGGCTTTCGATAATAACGTCTTGACTTCCCGTCTTAACTTTTTGTCTTACTTTCTCTTCCAAAAGATGTGATTTTGCAAAAGCCTTTTTGTACTTCTTAAGGGAGCTCGACCGTATTTTATTCCTCTCTACATTCAAATGATCTGCTACACTTCATGATATTGTAAGGCTTGTTCACTGTTTACAACCTACAGTACCTGCAAAAGTCTCGGAAAAAAACAGGACAGGGGGAAAAGGGTATCGTGTCCTGTCATTTATACAATTTATAACCCTGCGAACACACGTGTCTGAAAATCAAAGACAGAAACGGATAATACTGCTCCGTTTTTCATACAGTGGCCTACCATTTCATTTAATGAACAACCCGCTTCAAGTGATCACTTTAGCTTTGAGACAATGTTTCACATCAAACGGAAGACACCTGCAGCATTCCAGTCGGTGTATTTTATAACAAGCGACATTGTTTTTCACAAACAGATCGCACGGAGGGGGGTGTGGGATACATTAAAGGTAGTGCACATACACAGTTGCTCAAACACGAAATGGTATCCATCCGTGTCTTGAACGAGGATGCCTCCTAGATAGATTGATTGCATCAAGGCGAGTCGGCAGTCCGGGTTAATATCAGAGCACCCAGGGAAAATGTTTTTCACAATTCTAAAGAGTAAACCTATGCAGCTTTCTGGCATGTTGAGACCGGTTTAAAACGCTGAAATCACTGTAGAAAATGAGAATACGGTGCTCTGAATTGAAGCCCTGATTTCACTCTCACGTCTCTCAGCCTCATTACCTACCAACACGCCGGGTTTTCAGTTACCAGACGACACAGCGACTCAGTGCAATTGAACTTAATTACCTGAAGGCTTTCATGTATTCTGAATGCAGCACACGAAACGAAATGCTACAAGAAGACAATACGTGTATGCATATTGGTAGGGCCAATAAGATGATCAAAAACACCAGAATACTAGGAAGGAAAGCAGGCAGGCAGCGCGGGGCATTCCTTTATAAACAGACACGCAGGCAGAACCCGGTCTGATTGGACAGGCGCTACTAGACTCGTGTGGTGCGTGCTGTCAGACACAAACAGTGTTGTAAAGGGACATCTACGGAATACAGTAGCAGTGCACATCCACTCGGGAGAAGCAACAAAACCGAGAGCGGACCACTGAAAATGTTTGCAGGCTGGAAGGCAGCGATGTCTTGAATGCTTAAGAAGCCTGTTCTTTTCCGTGCATGCTCCTTAAACAACGTTTTTTCGAGTTCATACAATTAAATGTCATGCACTGCAAAAGAATAAAGGACGTGTGAGGCTGTCAAGTTTTCCTCTCTCTGGTTGGGTTGCACAGGAATATTCAGTAAAGGTCTCTGGTTGAATTTGTATCCTACATATTCTGTCATACAAAGAGAGCTCGCTGTTAAACTCACTTTAATGATTATTTTTTTTCTATTTTCTGGCAGTCAATACCGTAGCTGGGAAAGGATGGGTTCTAGACTAAGCAGACAGAGTAGTCTGGACGAGGACACGAAATTCTCCAAGAGGAGACGCCAGCAGCGCGATACGCCCGGGGAAGCCGGCAGGAGTGGACGCCGAGCCAGGGGAGACATTCTGTTTACATCCCTGATCCTGAAAACCGACAAACTGCCGGGGATGCTGAGGAAGACGAACCCGAGCCCGTATATGAGGAGGGTGGGATGGATCCGCGACATTCAGGCGCTTCTTCGGGAATACAAGGTGGAGCAGGCGGGCGACGTCCTAAAATTACTGAGAAAGGTAAAAAAAAAGCCGGCGTAGTGTTAACATGCTTTCCCAAGGACTCTTATCTTCACGTAATGACAATAGGAAACACGTTGTTATCTCTATAACCTCTCATCTCATCGCTCTTCTCAGTCGTTGCGAGTTTGACATATTTCTGCACGTACAGTAATACCCGTGCAAAGCTTCAACGGGACATCTTTATCTTTAAAACAAACATGATTTCGATTCAGCCTTGCACTTTAACCGAAAACCTCCGGTCTTTATGTCTAACCGGCAGCCGGTGCAAATTAAACCGACATATTGCTGTTTTCTCTGTCCGTGAACGAGTATCTCTCATTTGTTAAAAGTCCTTACTTTTCGGGCTTGCGGCTCGCTGACCACAGGTTGTTTTGCTGTGGAAGCAGCAGTGCAAATTGAACTTTGAAAACAAGACATTCTTAAAACGAATTAAAACCGTCAGCTTAACCCAAAAATGAATTTAATTGCTTAAGTCTAACGAGAGCACACTCATTCACAATGAGAAGCCGTGCAACACACTGGCGCCGCGTCGACGGTATACAAGAAGACAAGAGGAGCATCACAAAAGTTAATAAACCTGGACTTCAGAACCCAGCAAATTAACTCTATTATAAAAACTCCAATTATAGCTCACGTATTTGGCAATTCCATGCGGTTTCTATATATAGGGAAAATATGAGCCAGTCACCGTACTTGAAAAGAATATCATATTTCTCATTGGATTGCAGAAGTGTGTCTTAAGAATGTACATGTGATTGCAGTTTCTTTTAAGTCAGCAACGTTTATGCAGACAAGTTTTCAAGCGTCATGTAAAAAAAAACCTTCTTACAATACAAATACTACGTAGTGATTGAGGAGGGGAAAGACGAGGGTTTGTAAATTAATCTGAATACATCGAACACAGCACTGTATGCGTATTCTGATTGTTTCCTGGCAAAGAACTCCTGCAACTCTGTTCTGGGGTGTGACAGACTAAAATGAGCATTGTTGTCATCTCATGCAGCTATGAAAATGACTACAAGTCGTAACAACAGCCTGCTATGCATCTCTCCTAGTTGTTTCAAAGCTTTCCACTCATGTTATTTTACAGATCCTCAGTTTGGCCACAACCAGTGCACTGTAAAAAGAGCCACACACAAGGAGAGTAATAAGAGTGCTCTGAGCTGTACTGCAGTAGGGATTCTGCGCTGCGCTCCAACATGGAGCACATTCTAGAAATCACACTGTTTACAACGGGGGACCTGTTGTGACGGAATATGGCACCAGCTACCAGGCAGAGGGACAGAAGCTCGCTGATCTTGGCAGTAAAGCAAGGAGAGCCGTTGTTAGGCTCAAGGTCCGATATCTTACCCCCCAAGCAGTGATATTAATATCACAGACACTTATACAGTACACGCAGTGGTGCCTTTTCATTTCTCGTGGAAGTGAAATAAAACTAGGTTATCCAGCGGAGACCCAAACCAGCTGATGTGCTCTGGGATGAGTCAGAGACAATGGATAGGAAGTGTCTCGGCGCTGTTTGCAAACAGAGAGTGCTGAAGCAGCGCGGTGCTCCAGGGTTCTGTTTTTTCCTTTCAGAAAAGTACTGTAGGAGCTGGCCCATCCAGAGTCGGTTTCCACGGCAGCGCTTTAACCTTCAACAGGTGCTTCTGTGTTTCGGACCACTTACCTTAAAATTGGTTTTCCCTTTGGGGTGGTTTTGAGCTGAGTGTTTTCCACTGACATTGTGGCAGAGTGGGTATACGCAACAGGGGAGGTGGATGGAAAACCAGTCGGTATTGCTGAATTTCGGCATCCACATTCACCTCTTGTGTGGCAGTACAGTATGGAACAGGCCTGTACTGTGCCATACTTAACTTGAAGACTCTTTGCTCAGTCAAAATTCCCGTGAGAAACAGCAGTACTGTATCTTCAAAGTGCTGTTTGCTCTTAGGGAGTATCAGAGTTTGAGATTTATGCAACAGCTTTTATTAATGAGTTGCTGCAAGGGATTCCTACTGATCCCAAATGTGGAGATTAATGCACACCACATTTTTAATGGGGGGATTTGACCTTGAAATAATACACAGAGTTACAGATGCACTTGTTGATTAGGAAACTTTTCCTATCCTCAGAGGCTGTCATCAGAAGATTTGCACAAATTCTTTTTCTACAGAACTTGCGTTCTGTGCAAATTGACCAACTTTAATTTACATGTTTCAATGCACAGCATCCCCTAACCTGTTACTGACAGTGCACCGAAAGGTAATGGCGCAGATGTTTCTATCAATTTATTTCTCCAAATATTTCCATGATAATTTGAGTCTCAACACAATTTCATTTCGTTCAGTTTTTCAGTAAATTTCCATTTTTTCAGTTTTTTTAATTTCAGTTCTTTTGTTTTCATTTGCCCGGGAGAAGTGTTACTCTGTCTCAGTCCAAAAAAACAGTGTAAGCACAATGTGCTGACTTGCCTGCCAGTTATTAACTGTCAATTAAATTGTTGATAAAACTTAACATGCATAAAGGGTATAATTGTGCTGCCCTTTCTGTATAATTAATAGAGGAAATGAAGGTAAATTAGGAACCTGGCACGGATAATTTTTAGCTTGATACAGCTCTGCCATTAATATCTTCTACAAATCTTCTTTCAAAGTGCTGTAGTACTGTAAGAGGGTGTCACAAAGGGCTCGTACTCTCACCCCTGTATCCTCAGCAAATGGGGAGAAACTGGAACCTGACACATCTCCAGCTCACTCTGCCTAATGCATTTATTACAGCTTAGCCTCTCCGTTAGTCCCCTGATGCTACTCAGACTCACTCCTGCTTAATGGGGTTCTTGTGTAATACCAGAGGGACTGGAGGAGAAGACTGGAAAGAAGAAACCCGATGGTCACTGACACTGCCACAATTATCATTATTATTATCATTATTAATAATAATAAGGTAGAATTTGACCTGGAAATAACAGATGTGGGCATTTTGAAAATGATTTGAAATGATTGATTAAATGTTAATCTGAATAATTATTGGTTATTATATCAGATTATATTAAGGTTTGAAGAATACCTATTACTTAAAATGGAACAAAATATTAAATTAATTAAATTCTTCACTTGCAGCATTCCTTCAAAGATGCATGCGGCTTAACCAACACAGTTAGGTTATCAACATAATTCACGTATTTCATGACCAATATGCTGTGAGACAGAACATGCCTAGCATATTGATAATTCTGATACATTTGAAGATTGCTACTGGGCGCCCCTTATGTAATTACTCCTATGTCATGAACTGTTCATCCCCAATTCTGTTGACTATACACAGAAAAAATGCTATAATGAATGCAACTTTGATTTTGTCAAAAAAATGCTCTTGGTATTTCTGCAGGCAGCACCAAATGATAGTTCATAGCGCAGCTCAAGTTAGTGATCTTTTAGTGCAGAATTAAATGGCTTCTCACATGCAGCTCAATTTTATGAGCCAAACCTCCAGCTGTCCTATCCAGTACCTGTTGATATGTGAAATGATCCCCAATTTTTAATGACTGAACACTTCTCGAAAATATTTTGCTTTAGACAATCCTGTAAAAAAAGAGTTTTAGGCACATCATATCTATTGCATTCTTATTGAAGGTTAGTAAGGTTTCATTCTAAAGTAACAGGTAGGTACAGAAATCTAGAGCAATTGTTTAACATTCTGTGTAATTCTGTATAAAAAGGTTTAGGAAAGTACTGTTTATAGTAAGTAGCTTTGGGGATCAAGCAAGTTAATAGTAGATAAAGAGAAAAATGAGATGTACTGAAAATTAATAATATGTTTACATACACATTGATTTTAATTGTGCTTTCAGTTTTAATTATTTATATTTATGTTTTTTAATAAAAGTCTATCAGGGATATATATAATGTATATAAATTATATATACAGTTTGGCAGATGTAGTACACAGTCGTGATAGGCAGTTTACCAGCATCCTGACCTGTATATTATACAGTAACAATGACTGCTGAGCTGCAAGTATGTGTTGCTTAACCTCGGAAGACAGAAAAGAAAAAAGCTGCACATGACTGATAAAAAGAGATTCTTTCTAGAAGCAACCTTGTTTCCTTGGATGTAAAACCACCCAAGGACTGAAGCATCTGTGCTTTTCGTACACTGTGTTGCAGTGCTTGAGGCTTCTGCTCAGAAACTGGACTAGGATTTTTCCCACAAAGTAACTTTATACGACATTCTAGAAACCCCACCAAATATGTTGGAACTGTGCATTTCAAATAGGATATAGAGGGTGGGTGGAGTCCTATTAATGCCTTTAATACATTTTATGCCTTCTCAGTCCTAGTTTTTGCCTGCTTTACCAACAATGGCCAAGGGCACTGTGACCACAGCCCCTTAATGCAACAGGATAGAAGTTTGTACAGGACATCACTGTAATAAAAGAGCAGCTTCACAGCTGCTGTTGGTGTCCCCAGGCTTCTGCATAAATATTCAACAGTGCACTGGCAACACAGGGTGATCGAGAGGAGCCAGTCACTTGTCTTAGTCACCTTGTGCTTCGCAAGCAAAAACAGACACAGAATTGCTTCTCCACACCTTGAGCAGCAGTAACTGTGATGCAGCTGGCAGAGCAATTAGTAATTACCCCATCGGTTAATACCGTACATATCGTTTCTCTCGGCCTGTTTGTGAGGTGTTGACCATTCCAGAAAAAAACAATAGGGATCCTGTAGGTTTCTTCCAGTGGCATCACAGTGGGAGACAGGAGACTGAAACCAGAGTGCTTTGTTTGTACTCCTTTGTTTGTACTCTTAGAAAATAAGAGCAAACGCCCTGAAGATGAAAGACCAGAATGGTTCTTAAATAGGGTGATTGCATTAACATGAAAATTAAGACGTTAATGAAGATTAATGTGCAGTATCTTAGAAATCTTCAGTTTATCCAAGAAAATGATTCCAGACGAGACTGTCTGCTCTTCTTACTCTCTTTCACCCCCTATAAACCTTACTCCCTCCTGCTGAG